ATCAAGTTGATGTTTACATGATGGAAACCAGATCTTGGAAGTCACACTTGTATTATGTAGGCTTAGCTTCACGTGCACATGTACTGGTACAGTACTTTGTGTACTTGTTATATGTACACGTACATGTACCGTATGTCTGCAGTTAAGTACATGTACATGTTCTGTACATGCTTTTTCCTGCTCCAGAGGCTCACCTGTTTTACACAATACACTGTATGAACAGAACAAGAGTAACTTAAGAAGATGATGTATACTGGTGCATGTAGGTACCCGAAGCAGCTGGTCACATGTGGCAGAGACATCTTTTTCAATAAAGGCTTTGCATGGCAGCCATCTTGCAGGACAGTTCTTTTGCTTCACATGATATGCACAGAGTAAGTTTCCATGTGGGACAAAAGAAGTGCCTGGAAAATTGGCTACCATGCAAAGTCTCTATAATGATGTACATGGGGAAAATACGTGCATTCATGCAATTGCTTTTGCTTAAAAACCTAAAGTGCTTCCTTACTGCTACATGTACATTTGAGAAGAAACTTCCATTGTCACGATTTCCCTTCAGGGTTTGCTATTGTGATGAAAACACATGCGTAATAATGCTTTATTAAGCAAATGCTTTACTGGTTCCTGTAGTGTGGTACAGTGTACTAAAAAAAAAAGAGGGCATGTTGGAAATGCGCTAATCAGTCTTTGGATCTGACTGGCCAAATAGCGTTATGACACCACCAGGATTGGTACATGCATTCTGTTCTGCAATTGCAGGTCAAAAAACATCGATAGAGAAAGATTGCTGCAAATTAATTTGCAGAACCTGATCTCGTTTGTCTCTGTGTGTATTTTCTGTGTTTAGGAATTTATTTGAGGTTGTACCACTCGCATGTGAAGCAAGTGTGTTTCCACAAAATTTCACGCCACAATACGAGGTTCATTGCCTTCCCCACATTGCATTACGCATGCTCCGTAGCAATATAAGGACATCATCCGCCAGTTTCCTGTCACGACTACAGTTGTGCACAGGGGTATGCGCAACGCAAGTTCTCCATTGTATTAAATAATTATGAACCTTTTAAATTATTTAAGGTTAGGTTTCATCACTTTTTTGGCTTTTTTTCCTTTAGCTTTTTCTGTACTAATCGAAAGAGTCTCGGCATGTACTTGATTACCCCATTCAATATGCACAAAAGTATATTCCCCTTTTCCCCAAAATTCTGACCTACCGATTTTGTTTTTGAAGGCATGTTATCGGAAGTAGAACCAGTTTTTAAGAATTTATTCTCTGACGTTGACGAGTGTTTATTTATGGTAATCCTTGAAAACAACTGCGCCACGCGGGCGCGGCTGGCTGTGGTGAGCACATGCTTGCGATCGCGCTGCATGGACGGCCTAGTGCTTGTCTGCATGGTGTGATCGCTACTACTAGTACTAGACTACAGTGTACTGGTGCCAAACAGCACACTCCACGTGGTGAATCGGCCCCGGCCCAAAGCGCAGCGCAGCCTTGGAATGGACTCTTCACTGCATAGTAGTCTTGCGTGTGGGGCAAGTGTGGATCATTTCACTGCACCACGCTCCTCGTTTTTGAAAGTTTTTGCATTTTTTTAGCAAGCTTTTGCACTGTTTTTGCAAAATTTTCACACCACTTTCCCACTGTTTTTGCACACTGATTGTTTTTGCAATGTGTTTGCACAGTTTTTGCATGATTTTCTCACGTCCTTCGTCCCTTTCGCGTCTGATTTGCTGTGAATTGGCTGTGAATTTGCAGGGAGAAAAGTTGTGGTCAAAATGCGAAATGCGAATGTGAATGCAAATTCCTTTTGCATTTTTTCCCATTCCTTTTCGCAGCGTTAACTTTCAAATGTAGTATACTGTATATTCATGGGAGTAAAAGTCTTGATGTACATGTACAGTAAAATCTTGATGAGCTCAAAAGTTGGTTAAGTCAGAACTCTCTTTCAAAGACTTTATTCCATCCAAACAAATAAGCCTGTATGTACAAAGATACCTCGGTAACTCTAAATGCCTACTCGGCCCCTCAAAGATTTTTTGTGGCAAATCCAAAAGAAGCCATTGCTAAAACACAAAAAGTGTCAAAAGAATATGAGACTTTAGTTACAGTCAGTATTACCAAATGTACGTTTATCTTTTCACTCAGGGACACTTGTATACATGCTGCTGTTGTGGTGGACTTGTCACCTAAACCTCCATAAAACCACAACACAACCTGGCCTTCAAGCTAGCCTAATTGCTTGCTGCTGTGGGCCTAGCTGTAGCCTGCGTATTGGGAGTCCAAGCATTAATTCTGTCTAGTGTTCAGCTGTGACTGCAAAGCGAAGGTTATATGACCAAACATAGGAAAATCTGAGTGAGTGAAAACCTCTGACCTGCCTTGCGCATCGTGTGATAGACAGGATAGAGTGAATGACACGAAAGAAAACTTTGCCACAGGAAGGTACACAGTTTAAATGGCTGTTTTTTGCTGAACTTCTAGGTACATGTAAAAACATAAAGTCTCAATAACTTGATGATGTGTGTGCAAAAACATGCACCTGTAGAATAGATAAAAGAAAAGTAACCACAGTAATGTTGTCAATAGCCAATGTGAAGTGAGTTGCAGCTATACATGTATATGTACGTGTACATGTATATTGTACTTTGTGTGTGTGGGTATAATTATGACTTGACTGTGTAAAACTTGGGAACCTTTGTTAGCTCAAAATCTGGATGCTTCCAGAGGTTTTGTCCATACCAAAGAGGTTTGAGATGTCTACCGGTAGATGTTATGGCATTTAATGATGCAGTACTCATATAACCTCTGCAGTTGTAATGTACTTGTTTATGTACAGTACATCCTAGATCACAGCTGTGTAGGTCAAACCTACATGTACCAGTACCTCTTCCATCAGCTCCTTAATCAAACTCAGAATTCATTATTTTTGTAAACAACAATAGGGACATTTCAATTGTTACATAACACCCCCCCCACACACACACCAGTATTGATTCTCCTGCCTGGGAAGTCCGCTGTGATCCCAGGGTCCCCCCATTCTGCATTAGGGACTGCCTCAGCCAGGTGTGTAACAGTCAGTGCGCTTAGAATGCTGTGGTTGGAACTTCTATTGTGTCCTATTGATTATGTGGTGGTTCGGTAAAGGTCATGCATGTGTCTGTCCAGGGTGAACACACTGCTTATGGCTGATAACCATTCTGTTGCCAATTTGCTTTGACCATGTTGATCTGTTTTTTTTTAATTTTTTGCTTAGAGAAAGAGGGTTTTTTTTACATGAACAACCACAATTATCATACTTTCATAGTCACATTCTTGGTGGTCATAGCTTGCCTTAAAGGTACATGTACATGTAGATGAAGTGCTGAGAGAAGTTTATCTTGAAAGAGGGTCTGTGGAATGAGGCAAGTGCTTCATTTGCATAAAGCCAGGTCCAGCACAACCATGCATTGCTTCAGGGTTTTATGCATGTACCTGTGCATCACACTTTCATGGCCATCAAGATCTGTAGACTGTACATGTACAGTACATGTAGTTGGAGCCATGCACTGTCACATATTGGCAGTGGTGAAGATTAGTGGGAAAGGATTCTGACAGCCTTTGGTATGTTCAGATAATGAAGATTGTCTGTATGATACAATGTAGTGTTGAAGAACATGAATTTCAGATCTTGTTGTAAACACGGTAGTGTGCAGATTTATGTTCACTGTTTTGACAGAGAGAGTTGTTGATCTCCAGTGTGTGAAGCTCGTCATCCATAGTGCATCTGGTGCAACATTTTGAACTGAATGTTCCAAAAGTACATGTACTTCAATTAGTAGCTACCGTAGATGGGATTTTTTAGAAGCAGTCCCAATTAAACCACAATATCAGTTCACATTCATGACCTGAGATCATTTAAAGGTCAAATATGACTGCCTATTTCCTTTAAATACATGTACTTGTTAAAAGTAAAAGTTGTGCTTGCACATGTTTGCAGTCACCTCTGACCTCTCCTCTATTTGTTGGTAAATGTGCACATAGTACATGTAAATTGTCAAAAATAAAAGTGTAATTTGCAACCTAATTGGATGGCACCTCACATTTCCGACTGGACTGCAAAAGTGTGTGAAAGACAGGATATGGTTTAGACAAAGGTGGGGTTGTTTGGTTCCTCTTCCAACTAGTCAGTTTCCCATGAAAGAAAAAAGATGACATGTGTACCCTCATCTTCACAGTGTTGTCAGCCTGTAACGTGTTCTGTTCAGGTCATGGTTTAACATTTGTAACACAAATTCCTGTAGCTACAGTATCTGGTGTATACACGTTACAAAATTAGAAGGATACTTGTATATTTTGTCACTCATGGGCCTTTGTTTTGGTTTGATCCAGCTGCTTGGAAATGTGTTGTGTCCTTCATTTTTGAAGCTGGCATATCCTCAATAATAGCCAGTTCGTTTTGCAAAAAACACATGTTTGAAGCTGCATTACTTTTTTTTGGTGCAGTGATGAAGACAACTGTTTTCTCAACAATTGCTTAGGACTATAGCCAAACTTAGTGCAGTATTTGCCACGTGACGACAGTGGCAAATGACAGCTAGGACTCTGCTTGGGAAAGTCTCTTAACGTTCCACTTGCCACTCTTTACCCAGGAGCATAAATGGTTCTGATATACATTAAGCTGGTTGTAACCAGTGATAGATTAGAATCCGATACAGGAGGAACCAGATTTTTCCAGTTTTGTGCCAGTGAAACCAGAGATTAACATTGGCCTGACGAGCTGATGATAGACTTTAACCTACTTGTACCTAAGCAAAAGCATTCAGAGAAAATCCTCAGTTCTGTGTTTTGAAAGGCAAACAGGGAGCCGTATAAACCAGATGTCCGTGATCATTTGGTTTCTATTTTTTCATACAGAGGGGCTTTTACAGAAGAAAGCATTGCATTTTATATCCAGTAAGAAATATTTGTCAACTGCAGTGTAAGATGTTAAAGTGATTTTTTTAATCTTGTTTTTAAGGGCTGGCCATATGCTGACGCATCGTAGCAAAAAACCCTATGAGTGCACAGTTCCGGATTGCAGCAAGTCCTACTGTGACATCCGCTCATTGCGGAGGCACTTTGAATCCCAGCACAATGGCTTGGTCATGGAAGAGCACATGAAGTACACGGGAGATGAGAAAGATCCTGAACTCATAGCAGCTGAGGAGGCGGCTGCGCAGGCCCAGACCCAAGGCCAGGGTCAAGGCCACCCCTCGGGACTTCCGGCAAACTCTGTCGCCTACATGAGTACGGTCAACACCTTGTCCAGCATGCCGGTCATGGGCAGTCTGACTGCCAACAACTTCACCTCGGGGCTGATGCAGCAGCCTTCACAGCAGCAACAGCAGCAGCAACAGCAACAGCAACAACAACAGTCCCAACACCAGGGTGGGATGAACAACACAAACAGCCAAACCTCTGAGGGCCAGGGTTCCAGCTCCAGTGCAGCGCTGCAGTTCCTCGCCCAGGCCGCTCAGCGTGCCCAGACCAGCCTTCCCATCTCTGCCACCTCGCCCAGCAACCAGTCAGAAGGTCTGACCCTAAACCCTCAGATACCGGTGCCTGTGCCTCAGGATGTGCCCTCACTGCAACGCTTTGGAGACCTAATCAATCCTGCTGGTTCCAACCAGCTGCCGGCCTCCTCGTGGAATATAACCTCCCAGTATGAGGGCCTGACCAACTCCAGAAACTTGATCATGGAGGGTATTCCTGCCCCCAGGCTGTCAACCACGATGTCTGCTTTGTCAGGCAATCCATTGAGTAACCCAAGCGTAAGGCGTCCTCTAGGAACTACCCCTCCCATGTCTGTAGATGTAAGGCAACCTTCTCCCAGGGGGCCATCACCTGCGAAGAGGTAAGGGGGAAGAAATGAATGATACAGTGTTTTTCAATACAGTGCCCAGAATAAGCCCCTCTCGCCTGATCGGAAAAACCCTTCATCATGTGTTCTTGAATTTTTGTTCTAATACTTGGCACAGCCACTGTAAAATATGAGAATTTCAGTGCCACCAGTAACGGAAATTACATTTTTTGAACATGAATGTCTGGACTCCAAGACGGTGCAAGGATATACTTGTGTTTATATAGATGATGTACATGTAGGAATTTATTCAAATGTTGTAAAAGAGAGCTAATGTTTCAAAATTCGTGTGGTTGAAAGAATAATCTCAATCAGTGACAAATGGAATGCTGCTTTCTACTTGACTTCACTTTATATAATTGAACATTCCACCTTTCACCTTGTCATCATGATTCACTTCTGAACATTATTTATTCGTACGATGGCACTTGGTGCTTGATTCTTGTATAGTTGCATTCCTGTGGAACCACAGTCGTTGTTAAAAGATCAGAGTCGCATGGCTCGCACATTGCATGTGAGTCCATTGGTGCCACTCAGCTTGTTTCATTGACATGTTATTATTTGGGCAGTACTGATGGCAAAGAGAAGAACCAACAGCCTGTGGAGTGCTCTGTGTGTAAGAGAGTGTTCAAGAGCATGCCAGCATTGAATGGGCATATGAGACTCCATGGGGGTTACAACAATGCCCGAGGGGAGGCTATGGACTCTGTGAAAGTAGACAACAAAGTTCTTCCCCGCCAGCAAGCTTCCACCCCTCCACGCACCACTCAGGCCAGGGTTCCTCTCGAGACCAGAGGGTCCTCCGCCACTATTCCTACCACTCACTCCCTCCCCAACCACCAGTCCCTGCCTGTCACTCAGGCCGCTGGGCCCGGCCAGACGCATTCGGCCTCCCTTCACATGCCCATGCCAGCACCCTCGTTCACCATGCCGATGCCAGGACTCCCCCAGCTGCCCTCGGTGACACAGATGCCCCTCCTGAATCAACTCCGGCCCCAGCAGATGGACTTGAGTGCCCCGGTGAAGCGGGAGCACAACATGCCCAGTGTGCCCAAGCCCAGTAACCCGTTCTTTTCTGAGACCTCCTTTGCCCACCACCACCACCAGCAGCTGCCCAGCTCTTACCCTCAGCTGATGCCCGTGTCCATCAGCCGTGTCAAGGATATGCCTTACTCTGTCCCAATGAGCTACCCAGCAGTGACCTCACAAACAGTGCAGAAACTCCTGAAGTCAGAGCCAATTACAACCACGGAGCTGGTCACAACCATGGCCAACATGCAGCAGACCCCACTTTCAATCAGTGCAGCAGAGCAAGACCTCAGTCCACCCAGACTGGAGGCTATTAAACCGCCTGAAGATCAGAACGTTTTCCGGAATCCCCCACCCCCCATGCAGCCCAGCCCGACAAAAAAGCGGCCTCGCCCATCGCCATTGCACATCCCCTCATGCGTTAACACAGGAACACCTGGTGGTATCATCCCCGGAACCTATCAGTCACAGATGAGGTCTCCTCGGGAATTAGGAGGGCTGTACCAGCACCACTCCTACCGCAGTTCCGGTTCTGGGACCACCCCTCCGCCGTACACCCCTCCACCCATGCTGAGCCCAATCCGCAGTGGGCCCGGCTTGTATTTCAATGTGGGGCCAGTTCAGTTGCCATCAATGACTCCGAAGACACCAAGCATGATCTCCATGCATCGTAGAAGTAAGTGACATTTCAATTTTCCTTTTGAGTTCCTCACACTCAAGTCAACTTCATTTATGTTCACTGTTCTGTACTGGGTTTTTACTGCTTGTTATACAATTCTCTAGAAACGTTTGCCTTTGTCATTCATGTTATCAGCATTTCTCTTTCCATCTTGTGGGTGTACATGTAGGTAGTGCTTCAGCAGCTGATGAACAATCCTCCAACTTTGTCTTCTCCTCGGCTGAACCGTAAGTGACAATGATTCTTTAAACTGGACCATGTACATGTAAATCATTTGATGCACCTGACCACATTGGTAATACAAATAGAGTTTGTGGATTTGGCATCTCTGCGCATAAAATTCCATGCCTCAAGAAAAACAGGAGCTTAGGATTCGGTTCAAACGTTAGTGATTCAGAGATGCAGTAAGATCTAATCACCGCCAACAAATATCCCATTAGGGCAGGCATTGAAGAATTGAACAGGTTGGAGAAAATATGCTGCTAAATTCTAACTTCTGAGACATTTTGTAGGTCGAACCTTTCTATTGTTGCCAAAATCAGACACTGTTCTTTAAGCCTGGTCTTAGTTTCCCTTTCTTAAAACATGAAAGTGGAACATGGGGACTCAATGCAGAATGATGATGTCAGGGCTTGAGCTTCCTGAAGCCATCCAATCCAGCACAAATCAAGTGTGGATCTTGGAGGCTTTGGGAGAGTTAGAGGTCCGTATTGTAGTCGAATCTGTCACAAGTCCTTTCACGACACCAATTATAAGTAACAGGTTGAAAAGTGACAAAGGAGATTTTTGGCCATACTACATTTGAAAAGCTTGTGACTTGGCTTGAGAGTGAATGACTTGAGATGGTCTTGGAGGGTCTTCAGATGGACTCGACTATAACAGTCGTGAGGGTTAACCGATGATAATGTACATGCACATTTAATTTGCTAGTGAGCTATTTTTTTCCCTCTCATCAGCCACATCAATGTCGGTCCAGAATTCCAAGCGAGGATTCCAGACCTGATAGGTAAATATCGTGTTGACTTTATGGACAAGTCAGATACAGCCTAGATCTCCCCAAATGTTCCAGTGTTACATTTCTTTTTTTCTTAGAGGGGTAACGACTGTCTTAGTCCTTCAAAATCCTCTAGCAAGTACTGTCATTTGTTCCAGCAGTGTGAATGGTATCCTGGAGCAGTGGGGATAACTTTACATACATGCATGATCAAGGCAAGAATTTATGTAAGGCCAAGCATAAACGGCATAATTTCTAACCCAGAACCTTGACACAGTGCCTTTATTGCAATCACCCACACCATTTTGCCATTCGGTCTCCTCAAAAATCCTCCAAAACCAGCCAGGGGATTGAGAAGGTTTGGGATGGGGGGGGGAGGTCCACATCTACAGTTTGGAGAGTGCAAGAGCCAGATGTTTGGGAATTTTAAGTTTCAGTTGAATTTGAGCTCAGTTGAGTTGTCACAGCTCTTCCTCTCAAGTCTTGTGTCCTTCTTGGTTCTGTTCTTGCAGTAGAGGGTTGGGACGAATCTCTAGAGCCTGATCACAGATTAGGCTGGCTGGCTTGGGACCCCTCTGTCAATGACAAGTATACCATCAGCGAAGGTGAGTAGAGAGAATTAGACACAAACTCCGTCGGCCCCTTTTCAGGGCTACGTTTGAGACATTATCGGATGTCACTGTTAGTTTTTAGTTGTAAAGTCTCTTGAGTTCACTGTTGGACTCTGTTGTAGTTACCCTGTGGTGTCCTTTGTGGCCATTAAATGTCCCTCCAAAGTGTCATTGAGAGAAGCACTGTTTTTATGACCAGTGTTGCAATGCTGCTTCATGGTCAGCCCGAGAATCTCTGCCAAAGTGTGCCTTGAATGTGCAGGCAGAAGATCACAGTTGGTGATGAGCAGCTAATTTTTTTTACCTTTGCTGGCAGTCACCAATTTTCTGATGTTGGCCACGACTGCAGCCTTACCCGGTGGGGCACGGAACATCGAGTATGCCCATCACTGTCTATACAAAGCAGACGGAGACATACAGGTGAGAAATTTGGAAATCACATTGTTCCAAACCTACTTGTTAACTCTTACTGCCCAAGGACCGTTGGTGGTATCCCTACCTAATCACACAAACTCCAACACCTTGTAATCAAACTCTTACGTTACACACCCAATCACAGAGACTCCAATAGTACTTTTGCTGCAACAGTACCCAACCAGACAAATTCCAACAGGTCTTTACCTGTGTGATTTTGTTTGTTTGGATACAGCAGGCCCATTGCACATTACAAAGAGTATGGACAGGCAGTACCTAATCAAATAAACTCACACACCATCATGCTGCATATGCATTCCCAACTGCTGGGATCATTGTGGTGAGATAATGGGCATTTGTCCTTGTTATGGTGATTATTACATCTTACATACATGTACTTACTATTTCAATGGGAAGCTTCCTATTATTACATTAACTTTAAAAATACAGTCCTTAGATAATCGCAGATAATCTCCCCTCATTTAAAATTCTTGATGATAACTAAAGTGAGAGGGCCGCAGTACCATTCAGTCAAAATTCAACAGGGTATGTGCAGTTCTACAGTACCTATTTTGTCAAAATCCAACACCATATAGCAAGTTCCCAGGACTTAATTCCACAAATTCAAACACCTTACTGGTGTAGAAGTTTGACTGGTTAGGGATTGTTAGGTTTAAACTGTGATTCTCTCTCTCTCTTGCTGTAGACAAGTCACCAGCATCAAGTGCTTCTAATTGCAGAATTGTAGAACAAAGAGTAGCGAGTACACGCTCGCTCTCTGTCGCCCTCCTAACATTTCGTGAACCTTGTAGGTTTCCTTTACATGTAGGTATTCTGCCCCAGCTGAAATAAGAAACCTGCGATGTGCAACACTGTGCAACAGCAAACACTGTTTTGGGCATTTTGCCTTATATTTGGTAGATTTACGTTAATCTGTTTTTTTAAATTTCTAGCTTGCCTTAAAGATGTTGATGAATCCAGAGTCCCGCGATGTTGAAAACAATCCATTCAGCGATTACAACTACAATTGTGAGTACTGAGTGACATATTGGATGGTCAGAAATCTAGAGAAATTCAAGATAAGTCTGTTCACAGAAGGTTCTCAGAATGTGTTGGCACAGTGGAAGATTTTCCAAATCCAAGAGTTGTCTCTGTTTAATAGTGGCATTGCCTGATTTTTTGCTCCCCTTACTCTTTTGAGCTAGTACCAGTAGCTCAATGCAAAGTCATAGTTTGCCTGAGGATCATCAAACTGTAGTTTGCTGTTTCATTTACTGGCTCTCCTGAGTAGTCCACACAGTGATCTCTGCCATTCCTGTACAGAGGCCGTCTCTAGTTGTGTTCTCAGAGTATAGAATTACCTTGAATTGAAAGCTCAGACTTGCCGATTTCATTCTTTTGACTCCTAACTCCATTGGTACTTTGCTGGAAAATTACTGAACTTTTCACGGTCCACTGACTGGGCCCCCAGGTCTTGGACAAGCTGTTGCTTTTTACCTGGATCCATTATATTACTTGTTTTCCTGTAGTGTATTTTGCTTCGTGTTCATAATGTCTGATGGGATTATCAATGCAGTAAACTAATAAATCAGTAAAGGAACCCAATGACTTGCTCTTTCTATGTTTAATTGGCATTAAACACCACATGCTTTAGGAGTGTCTGGGTTCTACTTTCCCATTCCTGCCCAATCCCCCAAAATGTCTGGTTAGAGTTAGAAGGCTCCGGAGAGTCAGGGGTATTCAAGTTGCATCACTTCACTCTAAGTGGAATGAGCCTGTGGCATGATGTTTGTCTTCTTTGCAGTCACTTCTTCCTGGTCACAAGGAGAGAGGAAGATCTTTCGGGATTACTTCAAAGCCAAGGGGAAAGATTTCCATGAAATCCAGAAATATGTAAGTATGCATTGTCTGCTGTAACTAGAATTGAGCATGGGAAATCCCCAAAAGGCATCATATTCATGACTTGCATGTACCTCTATGACGCAATGGATGAAAGCACGTGTTGATGTAGATCTTGCATGCAAAACCAACGTCACGTCATAGCATTGTCGAGACGTACCGGCCACCCGCAGTAGTACAGTAAACGGCCCACAAAGTGCGATTGCGCCTCAAAGGCGTTTCGGAACAGAAATTTCAGACAATTTACTGCTGCTACATTCATAGACTTCAGCATAACTTCTGCTGGGCTGGTGCCAGGGACCGAACTATTCTTGGTTGCGAAAGGTTCTATTTTCTTTGGTTCAAAAACCAGCAGCAGCTAGAGGGCGTGCATCACAATCAACTATTTTTCTGCTTATTTCAGAATACTGTTTTACTAGACTGCCGGACTACCCAGATGAGGGCTTTCGCTAGACCGCTGCGGTTTTTACTTTAATTTGGCTAGCGGACCAGCATTAAGGTCAAACCCCTTGATCTTGTACGATCTTATTTTGTCTATCATTTTTTTCTTTCCGAAGCTCAAAACCAAAACAGTCAAGGAGATTGTGGAATATTACTACCGCTGGAAGAAACTGTTTCCGTACAACAGGGACATGCAGAAGTTCTGCCATCACAGTAGGATTAATCCCACAGAGGAAATGCGCAGGAGTGAATGTGTAAGTTGGGTAATCTCTGCGCCCTGCATTTTGAGTTTTTACAGAGTCATTTGAAGTTAACAGAAAATGTTGACCTTCCTTGGTCACTGAGGTGCGTCTAGGGTTTCCTGCTGTAAATGGAAGCACAGGCTGGGGTCATGTAGCTCTCCCAGCACTTCCTGTGCATTTGATGTACATCTTTGAGACCTTGGATGTGTTCAGACAATCAGCCTTATTCTCCAGATCCCTTTATAAATTTTCTACAAACTTAACATGTGGGAACGAAGATGATGCAGTAGGGACAATTATAGATTACTTGTCTATGTATTTGTACACGTACAAGCAGGTCACTGTACCAAACGCCCATTGGAGTTTGAGTGATATAGTATGGATGGGTCTGTACAGTATAGGATGACTTGCACCTGAGTGGTACCAAACCTGAAAACATCAAGCATAGTTCAACACTTGGTTCCACAAGCCAGACACTGCACACAATGATCCCTGTGTGTCACAACTCACACAGAATCCAACACCATCATCCTGGGCCTTAGCTACCAAGTCCAGCAAAATTCAACAAGTTCAACAATTACTTTGATATGACTGTGTTCAAGTTACTGGATGTGTGCTGTATATTATTGGTCTCTGTCTGTTAGTTGAATGGGAATTTACTTGGCTTACAGGCCAAGCTAAATGCTGAGCGCTTAATTCATCCAAATTTGCAAGGTCAGTTCATGGAAGCACCACGTTGAGTTTCACACGTTGAATTTACTTTTCTTCATTAACGATCTTTTCATATTCAAACAAAAAGATTGACTTGGCCGCACTTCTTCCGTCTAGTCTTTGCTCCACAATCAGATGTCACGTTCTTGTGTAAACCTGAACTGATAGTTTTCTGAAAAGTCAACACTTGGAAGAAATTACAAGTCATTGTTCCCCTGTTTGAAAATGTGAAACGTGAGATCTTGGTCTGTTTTGCTAGACTTGTGTGTTCTCCGACTAATTCTTGTATCCCGACTTCCTGTCTTTATTTCTTTCTCTCCTTTTGTTTTTCTCCCTCACCTCCCCCTCTGATTTCTTGTTTTTCCACCATCCACCAGGACATCTATCCGGAAGAGACTTTCATAGATTATGTTCCTCTCAAGGAGTATAGGCCCGATAAGTACTATAGAGGGGGTGGGCAGACTAGGAACAATAATCATGTGAAAACTTCCTCTAATCAGGAGGAGAAACCGGTCAACCAGGGGCCGTTCACCTGCAACCACCCAGACTGTGACGCGGTGAGTTACGCAGCTGTTACCTTCTTCTTGTGCTGTGGGCTATTTAGGGTGGATAGTCGGTACTAGCTTGCCAACATGGTCAGCGTTGTCAAACTAGCACCGAAGCTGAAGGAATTGGTTTCTCAACTAACAGTAGTGAGGGGAACTATTGTGGACTGTCCACTCAAAATAATCCTTCATATTTGATTTACCATACCTCAAAACGTATGGTATCACAGAGTGCTGAACGAGGCTGTGGGCAAGAACACTTATGTGGGCCACCATCTTTTCAGCTGCAGCTGTGCAAGTGCACACTTGAATGCCACCCCATGCAGTAGTAGCATGATGGCTTCCTTAAGGGCAAGTGCTGTAGAGTGTAAAGTCTAGGCAACCTGAGCGATATTCTCCAAGGCATGCGTATTTGACTTGTGCATGGATCTTTACGTGCGCGCCTTGTAATGAGCAAAAAATAGTGCCTGTCATGTGATAGTTATAATGGACGAGTGAGAATTGGGCTTGTGATCGTGAATATGTATGAGGTATGGTTATTTATTTAGAACCCTTGCTCGCCTACAGGCCTCTGACTCACATGCAAGGTGTTTTGAAGGGTGTGGCTGAGCAAGGGTTAAGTGTTGCGTATTGATAATCATTCACTCTCATTTCTCTATCGTTAACATCTCATTCTGTCGGGGGGGGGTCACAGCTATCTAAGCACCTTGCAGTGGTGCAGTCCTCCCTATTTGCATATGAGCTCCTGTGGAGATGTTAGTGTAAACGTGTACTGCATATACAGTCAATCATAGTTTGCGTTGGAAATCCCATAATGGACCTTTAATGGACCTTTCACATGAAATATGCAAATAAGGCAGGTGCATGCACATTACTACTCTGGTTGACAAAGTTGCTTAAATCTTTGACGTAACAGTACAAATCTCCATGCGCGCATCACTATTGCCGTTTCTGTGCTAGTATAGTTTGACATGGTTTAAACTTAAGACAAGGAACTGTATACTTTCCAAGCTCAGGACACTGAAAACTTCACTTAGTTTTGAGAAAAGTGTGCTCAAGTATCAGAAAAAGGCTGTAATACGGTTTTGATAGACCGTCAACGCTCCAGGCTATGGTTACTAGCAGCTCGCCTACGCTACCGACAGTGTTGACGGCTGCACTTGCCAACCAGTGGTAGTAGCGCGCATGCGCCCATCCAATTTGCATATTTCATGGGAAAGGTCCATTAGATGACCTCACAGGTGTACTTTCCTGATGGTACTCATTCACATAATTGCGTTATCTTTTGGCAAGTGCGCTGAGTACTTTGTATACAGATAGTACACAGCATAGCCAAACAAAAAGTACTGATCATCCGTCACTAGTCGTCTGACTAAACCTGTTTTTAAAATGATTCAAGGTTTGAGAGGTTGAAATTTGAATCGTGTTCGATTTGGCATGGTTAAGTTTGCAGTGCCAGGCAAGCGATGGCAGCGTAGTATCAAGTCATCGGAAAATAAGCACAGTTTGATTCCAAGGGATCTGCTGTCAATTCTAACACTCATCTAATGTACCCTTGAGTAACGACAGTAGCATTGCACATAGTTCCTGTCATGTTGCTGTTTTGTTCCACCTCCTGTGTTGTGTTGCTGTAGCTGCAGTGCACTGATACAAGGCGTTAGCCAGCTGCTGATATTCCCTGGCTGCTAACCATAGATAGTGTAAGAAAATGTGCATCACAATTTCACAGTAAAGTGGACTTTCTGAATGCTTTTGACTGTTGAATAGTCCAGTTTTTTTACTGTTTGTGCACACAGCAAGATTTCAATTTTTTTTTTTTGATGAGGGATTTGCTATATGTCGACAAAATCATAGCACCTGTCGAAATTCAAGGAACATTCTTGGGATGTTGACAAATCAGAGCACCTGCAGATGAAATTCAAGGAACATTCTTGTGAAATCAGCCCAAAATTTGCCAAACTGAGGACATCGACCTGTTGATGGTCATTGGAATAATTACAACATGAATTCTGACAAATTTCATGGAAGAGTAAAGAGCATGTGGTTTATGCAGGTATTTTTATACATGTAAGTATTTGCAATACATGTATTTCCTGATCAAAGAGCCATCATGATTTCAAATAAATTCACACCACATGATTCCCATTAAAAAGCAGCTGTACCCGTACATGCACGTACATGATCTACCTGCAGTTCACCCAGCAGCTCAATCTTGCAAACTATGCAGGGCAGTGTGGTTTGTACGAGTGAAAATGATGATCATTCTAACCTATTTTTTTTCACCATTGTAAACTATTGCTACAGCACCAAAAAAAATTACAAAAACACCGAAATTATCATGTCATTTCCACCACCATAAGGGCTTAACAAGTGTGTGTTTTATTCCACTTATGCTAATATACACAATTGAATGAGAACTTGTTTCCATGGCCGCACGTTGAACTTCAAAGTGTTGAAAGATCAGTTTACCTTGCCCATGGCTTCATGCTTGCATCTGTCTTGTTGGCGACTCATGCAAGAACAAGTTAGCTCTCTTCATAAAAAAATCTCCTCCGTTAGAGACTCGAAGAAAGAATATACTTTTTAAGGCAGTTTTATAGCCCATTGGCCACAAGATGGACCGAAGGCAACTCCAGTATTTTGATCTGGTTACGCAAAGGTATAGAGATTTCCAAGAAAAACCACCAAGTCCTGCATGTTGTTCAGTCTCCTATCTTGACTCGAGAGTGACAGAATTAGACCCATTTAGGAATATGCATTTTGGTAGAAGCGTTGTCCACCTAGAACCGTTTTGTTATGGGGCTTCAGTGGGTTCGTAGTGCTTCATTAGCTATTGGGATCTGTTGTCTGTAATGGATCCTGCTCCGTGGCTTAACCCATTAACAAGGTTCCTGTTTCTACTTTGATGCTCGACGTAAAAACCTACAAAACAACAAAAATTAACTACTCTGCCTTTACCCTGAGTATTCTGGAAAGCAGATCTAAAATTTTGTATAAAAAACCTACTGTTGGTAGTTATATAATTTTACAGTTTTCACCGCATCAATTAAGAATGTTACTGCAATATGAATTGCAGCACTGTGTTCAACCATGTTAACATGTTAACTGTGTGTTTAAAAATTACCTTTTCTTCCTTTCACCAGTTTCTTGCACTGTGAATGGGCCTGAAGTCAATCTTACTTCACGCAATCTGGCACCAATAATGAGTTTCATGCTAAACATGTATCACTTTGCGTGTGGGGTAATTTTTCCCAACAAGAACATGCTTTATTGGGTGTAAGCAAGATGATCCATGAATGCACAATAATGTTGATTTGTATTTGATTTGACTGTGCTCCATGATGGGGGGCATGTCACCCTCAAATCCCATTGCTGCAGTACCCCTATCATTTTTAACCTTTTCCCTCGATCATTTTGTTAAAAACTTTGTCTTCTGCCCACCTTTTACTAGACCTTCAAATCGCGCCAAGCCCTGAATGGCCACATCCGCGTGCATGGCGGCAGCTACAAGTGCCAGCAGCCAGCCGGGGCGGCTGCTGCTAAGGAGAGCCGGCCGGTGGTCCAGCGCAGTGTTTCCCCGGCTTCAGAGTCTGCTACCTCCACCTCCGGTGGCTCGCGGAGGATGTCCACTGACGAGGACTCCTCGGGAGAGAGCATAGAGCCGGAGCCTGCTACCTACCCTTGCAAAATATGTGGCAAGTAAGTCAGACCTGATTTGGATCTTCCAAAGCATTCTTGCCAGGTACCCAAGCATTTGGGTAATGGGTACAGGTCCCACCCAAGTGAGCTTGTGAAATTTGTTTTTACATCATTGAAAGGCAAAGCCTGATCTAAAAAGGAAACTAATGCCGTAGCTAAAAGGGAATCATTGCTATGCATATTATCCCGGTACACACTCCGTTGCTTTGCGTAGGAAAAGATTGACAATGAATGCAAGGATGGATGTGGTAGTCAGTCCATGTTTTCCATGCGCTTTGTTCTAATAAGGGATGTCAATAGAAAGTCACGTACAGTCGCCCCTTGTTATAACAAAGTTGCAGGGACTAGACAAATTACTTTGTTAATAACCTGGACTTTGTTACAAGAGGAGTGGTAAAACAAAAGCATAAGAATTCAAGAAAGTGGGATTCCCAGAATTTGTTCGTTACAACAGTATTTTGTTATAACTGTTCTTTATAACAAGAGTCAACTTAACTTACTTTTTGGTGTTTATATGCAGTCAACTGCCATAAAGAACTAATTTTCTTTCGTAGCAAACTTATTAAAATGAAAGTTGACTGCACATAAAGGTATCTGTTTTAGAAAAGGTTGAGTAGAAGTGAATAGCACATCTACTGTTGTGTTTCCAGGGTGTTTATCAAAGTGAAGAGCCGGAGTGCCCACATGAAGTCCCATCGCAAACCAGAGGCCATCAAGAAGCCGATTGGCCCGTTGCGCCAGGAGGAATCACCCCCTGAGTTTGGCAGCGAGCCGCTGAACCACTACACAGATGACTCGGAGGAGGATGACAATGACGAGGACATGGATGAAGAGGAAGATGATTACCCGAATGAAGTGGAGGAAGAGGAACGAGGCGGGGAAAGTAACAGCAGTAGCAGCAGCAGCGTCGGCAGCTCCACAGGCCGCTCCCGGAGCAGGAGCGAGAGCAGCAGCGATGGGGGCAGCAGCGAGAGCGAATCAGAGTCGGGAAACTCGGAGGCAGGGGAGCCCATGAGGATGTGAAGGGGAGAGAAGGGGAGTTGGCCACGGTGGTGTGATGAGATGGACGAGATTTGAGTCCTAGCTGGCTGGGACGTGGTTTTTCAACTGCTGTGCAATAGCTAAGACAAAGAGAGGGACAGGGCATCGACCTGCTGTACCCTGGATGGATTCCATGGAGTGCGAGGCTGGGTCAGTGTTGAGAGGCTGTGCTGGATGTGGTGTGGTGACAGGCCAGAGTGGAATTCCAGATAAAAGGCATTGTGGCTAAATGGTTCGACCAGCGTGGGGGAAATTCAGATTCAGGGCATGCCGTGTCCTTTGTACTTTGAGAGCATAAAGATTCTGTGGTGAACTTTGGCACATTCAGAGGTGTAATTTGAAACTGCCTGAGACAATTAAAAGGAAAGGCCATTTTCCTTTTTACAATTTTTTATTTTACGCTCCTGTATATGTTGAAATTCCGTCGAGTTTTATCAGTCTCCAGTAACAAGTACATATTCGCTAGCTCTTATATCGGAGCAAACCAGAATCACATGAATCATTGCTTCCAGGTAGATTACCAAATTGTTTCAATTTAATTTGGGTCAGGAGATTGTAAAAAAGTTACTTTTTCAGAGAATTGAGTTTGCTGGATGGAAATTTGCACATTGGTATTTTGTTTGTTGCTTGTAAGACTCAGAAAAGCTCTGTTTTTACATTTAGTTTTCTAGTTCATGGATGTGGGATGACATACATCATACATACATGTGTGCATAATATGTCCATGACAAGGTTTCCGTGATTTAGGCTGGTGAAGATAACTGAGTGCATCTGAGGCATCCAGCAAGATTGCTCATGTTCATAGTAGGGAAACATGCACAATGCTTCATATACATTTATTTATGTTTTTTTTTAGGCAAATTACTCCTTTTTGTGCAATATTTCTTGCTCAGTTTTGTTTTTTTAGAAGTACATAGCGCAGTTTTGTTTTAAAGTTTTTCTTACATTTTCTCATAGTGTTATTCTGTTTATAATCCAACAGACTTTTGAAAAATGATTTTGTAAAGCTGGCAATCTAGTTTTTAACCGATTTTTTGCAAAATACTGCACATATCTCATCTCAAGCCAAAAAGCCCATACGTGTATATAGTAACATTCATTGTGTACTGCTGCTGCTGCATTTCTTGGAGCGTCTTTGCAGAATGGTTGGTTAGCAACCAGTGGGAAACCTTCAGAAGCACTGTATGCATCAACATGAATTTCAGGTTGGTAACCTGTTCTTGCTAAGCTAACATTTCTCCCTTGGCCATTTTCATGAAATTAGCCACAGGTTGCGACTGTCTCTCTGCTACTCTGGTTCAGCGCGGCCATTTCTGTTATCACAGAACAACCAGCAGATATATGTTGGTTACTGGATCAGTGACTGTAATAGCTTTCTGTTATCTTGCAAATCCGTGTAGTACTCTGTCCTGCACGGCACACATCGACCTATACCGCCGAGCTGCTTAGCACAGGCATTAAAATTGTTCTTTCTTTTTGGTTCGGAAAGAACAGGCCACCAGGCAAATTGCGTGTACAGAAATTTGTGTTGCTAATTACCAGCTTATTTAGACTGAGCAACTTCGTGTAAATGCCCCAAGAAATTTTTGCCTTCCAAATGTGTTGGACATGACGTGCTTGTATGAGTCTCTCTGACGTATCAGTGCTCTCCAGTTTCCGAAGTGATGGTGCTATACAGTAATACATAAACCTTTTGGTGGCATTTAAATAAGATGGGTACAGAAAGTGGAACTAACAATCTGTAATGAAGCTAAATGCTTTCTTTCAAAGGAAGAAAAAGATAAATAAGATGTCTGTTTGAAGACATAGCCGGGCGACCCCATGCTCTAAAAATTCGCACCTTTTGGCTTTACAGTCTTTGCCTCGGTCAATTGTAGTTTTTGCTGATGTGCTGCATGTTTTTTTAACTGTGCCTGATGGTTTATAGAAAACATACATGTAGACTGATTTACAGTGTCTGCCTCCATTGAATAATGGACACTCCTGAACAATGGAATTGCAGTATCTGTATCCAGTGTTGGAGTCGAGTCCATCACGAGTCCTTTCACAAGCCCAGTCATAAGTACCTTCACAAGCCCAGTCATTAGTCCCTTCAGAAGCCCAGTCACAAGTCCCTTCACAAGACCAGTCATGAGTAACGGTGGATAATGACAAAAGAATGTTTTTGTCACAGTTCATTTAAAGAGATTGTGAATTGGCTTCAGACAGAATGACTTGTTATGGACTTCCAGGGACTTGCGATGGACTCTTGATGGACTCGAATGCAACACTGCATGTGTCCCTTCAAACCCTGTGTATCACATAAGAAGTAACTTTCAGTGTGCCCCCCTCCCCTTTTTTCCCACTTTATCTTAGCCCTACTACTTCTCACCTCCGTTGGATGTTTGAAGCAACAATCATAACTAATCACTTGATTCTTTTTATTCTTCACATTCTGGCTTCCCTACAAAATTACCGCAGTATTAAAATAATTTGTAAAAAGAATTGAATGAAAATTTGCTTGAAAAGAATACTTTTATGCCAGTCTCTCACTTCTACCTAAACGATTTAGTTTTGACAGATATTTTCTTGTGTGTCACTGGGTGTTAGAAGCCAGTGAGTTTCCAGTGACAAAGATGGCTGACTTTTTGGGGGGGGGTGTTGGTGTTAGTGTTCAGTTGATTCTTAATAACGGCCTCATTGTGAAATATTTGATCATGTCTTGTAAATAAAAAGTATCTTCACATATACTACCTTTTTATTAATTAAGTGTGTGAGACAAATGACTATTTTATCATGTGATATTGGAAATATGAACTGAGCTTTGATCGAAGGTTTATGAACTGTATGATAAAATAATATACAGAATTGTCATTATTTTGTATGATGAAAAAAATTTTTGTGCGGTTGTGGAAAACATCTTTTTAGTCTGACTCTAAAAACAATACACAATATTAAGTCTTAATGTGCATAAAATGTGCATTTTTCTCTATCTCATAAAAATATATAAGAGAATGTCTCTTTTTTTATTAGTGTAAAAATAGTTAAGATACTAGAACAGAGCGTATTCAATTATGAAGTGTAACATAATGTACATGTACTCTTTATGAGATAGTTGTAAAGTGTTGGTTTGGAATCAGATGGTGCAGAGTTGCTGTGAACAACACGATGCTATTTGTAGTACCCTGCATGTACATGTAATCTTGTAACTGGTTTGGTTTGAGTGCAGCTACGTTCATTGCAAATGAGTTGGCCCCTCTTGCTTGCAAGGGGGGCCAAGGGCATTTGTCCATTTTACAGCCCAGGCAGAATAAGGGCCCAGTACGCAGACAAGCGATAACTAAAAGCATTGACAGAAAGCATTACGCCACACGATATTTGATGTTTACCCACATGCAGAAACCTATGGCCGTGATGGCAGAGAAGACCAATGGAGTTTAAATATGGTTGCAATCTAGTTGATTGCGGGTAATAACAGAGCAGTGTTACAGGAAGTCCTGTGTCACTATTCATTTGAATACATCTGTACTGTTCTTCACGGATATCTCATAATTAGACCACTTCTTTGCATTCGTTGTCAGGTCACACTTGTTATAGGTTTTGGTTGGAGGGGGGGAAGAGAAATGAATATTTCTTCAGTGTGGTCAGCCATTGTTTAGTCGCAGTGGGTTGGTAGACAGGTCCAAGAAACTTGACAAGAAAAAGTGGCACTTACTACCTTGTCAAATATAATTTTCATGATTTTTCCCCAGACACTGCCACACTGCAGTGGCAAGATTTGACGTGTTCGATTTACCCCTCCCTAAAGCCAAATGATACTTATGACATAGAGCTCTATGATATTACTAGAGTACTTTGAACTTCCTGTACGAATTGAATCCAAGTGGGTAGAAATCTGTGTAAGGGTACAAAACCTGTTGAAAGCTCAAAATTTTGCTTGTCTTTTTGCATATCTGTATAAATTTGTATTCTGTATTAACGTGTTATTAAAACCAATAATCCTAACATTGGAATGCAAAATCAGCAGACCAGTGGTGTGTTTTATGTAAACAAGGCCAAAAAAGCTGCAGATGATCTTTAACTTGGCTTTTGATCATAGTCTATCGTCAATGTTTGTTTTATTTGTGTAGGATTTAGAGGGAACTATTCGGAAGTTCCATTCCATTTGATGTGTTCCACCAACACAATGTACAATTTCACTTGAGGCATGCTCTAAAGTATTCCATACTTAGGGATGCTCTAATTGGAGTGCTATAGTTATTTCATACAGCTCTATGGATTGTTGTGGCTTCTGGAGGGATCTTGAGTGTAAATAATGACATACAGGTTTGGGTTCTAGAATCTGTGATGGTTGATGGACCTCAAAGGGGGAAGGTGGTGGTGGAAGTGGATCACTGTCTTATGTGTGTGTGATACAGACCAAAGCTTGCTCTCACAGTGATGTTGGGATTTGATGTCGAGACTGGAGAAAGAACAACTTGCTTGCCAGGAGATGTACACTTCTGCTAGTCTTAATGTGGATTTAATTTTTAAATTCTGCCATAGGTTATCAGGTTAACAACTCCCTTGTGTCTCTGCCGGTGTGGAGGGAGAAAAAAGCTTTCGCCCTGAATGATAAATGTACGCTTTGACAAGCACACATTTGGATCTAGAGCTGATCCGCATTGGAGTGTGATAGGGTGTTCATAAAACTCCAAATGGTTGCATCCTATATTCTACATGTATAAACTGCTGGTTTTGTTGTCTGCCTCTGTGCGTCACTGCCTTAGGAGTACATGTATGGTGGAACACCACAGCAATGACTGCAATGAAACCTTTGGGCTTGAGCAACAAAATTTCTACAGCCCTTTGTACCACGTAGTAACAAATTGTATGCACATTTCTCAAAATTACTCCCATTAGAAGAGGATGCTCCTTTCTAATAATCAAGTGTCAGTTTTGCGATGTTTGTCAGTGTGGTGTTCTGCTGTATGGTGCAAACCGTGGACCAAACCAATAAAATATTTGTAACTCTCTGACATACGTATGATATTGTAATGTAGTCGGGGAAAACGGTGTCAGTCCACAATCTTTTTGGTATGATGAAGTTTTTCCAATGTCTGTAGAGATAAGGTCTAATTTTGTACTTGCTTACAATCCTCTGCATCCCCCTCCTGTATTTATTGAAATTTTAGTGTCACTGGATTTTTAAAAAGCTTTTGTTGAACTTTTATTGAAAGTACAGGTGATATTAAGGGGAATTACCACAGCAACTGATTTTTGTTCCACTTTTATGGTGTGGGATGGAGTGCTATCAATGTATAAATTAATCAGTCTTTTGAGACTAGTTTGTGATTTTTTCAAAAAATATTTTTTACAGTTTTTAATGGATCAACAGCTGTGTACTTAAAATGGGCAAGTTGGAGTTCTAGTAGATGGAGCAAGCTGTATTGAAATGGTCCTCCCTGTCGGGAAAACTGAGGGCCAGGGAAGAGGATGCCTCATTTTGACATAAAACCCTTGTTCTTGGGGGATGCTCAGTTTATGGAGAGTTTGGGAAGTGACAGAAAATGGAATGCATTTGTTCTGGTTTGGACGGGTCAAATAAACCAACAACCAACACACACAGCAGGCCAGGTGGTGACTCAGTCATTCTGAAAGTGGAGACTTGGGTGCTTTATACATGTATACCTTCGTGGAACAGGATGTGCCTTGTGTTTACGGGTTCCTTCATTTAAAGTGTGTTCAGAGTCAAGTTTCTGTAGTTGGTTTATGGAAGTTAACCAGCTGGTTGTTGGATGCCTAGACATTTAATGTGGCTTCTCACAGTTCTCGAGAAATGGGATTATTTTGAGATGACCACTTCATGCAGTATGATATTTTCCTAACCCTGGGCTGCATTAGATATTACGAAACTAGTGAATGATCAAATATTTTTTCATATATTTGACAGGCTGTTCTGCCAAAGCAGGAAAAGTTCTTGCCTGGTGTAATTGTTCCAATTTGTCCATAAGTCTGTTTTCTTAAGCCATTGAGTAAGTTAATGTGGAGGAACAACCACTGAGTTTTTCCTTTAACATTTTCAAATGAAATTTTAATTGATAGTGAAACAACCACGTTTTTCCATTAACAGGATTTTTTAATTAACAGTGGGTGTAGGTCATGAATTGATTTGATGAATTCTAGCTCAATTCTTGTTCTTTGCATGAAGCAGTTAATTTTCAGGACAGGATATTTGCTGATAGTTTGTAATACTTCAGCTGTTTTACTTTCTTGAGGCCTTCTGTTGGTAAATAGCAGCAGGCTGTGAAATATCTATATTAAATATCTATACCTTGTACATATTAAAGAGAATAATCCGTAAATAAAATATTTTTTACTCTTCACTTATAGTAACATTGGTTTTCTTCCTCTGTAGTCTGATGTAGTTTGACAGAACATGAATTCTGTATAAACTTCAACACAAATGTATTTATTGTACCTTAACGTTCAGGCTTTCGAATAAATCACAAATTTATTAATTAATACACACAAAGGACAGATGCTATTACACAAGGAACAAGGCGCGAATCCAAATACGTTTGTTTAATATTTACAGATACAAATCTTACCCTTTAAGGACGGATTGAATTGGAGTTTTGTTCAATAATGAATTGGCGAGCTCTCCAATTTTCCGAACAAGTCGTCACTAGAGCTGTGACTGAACTAAAAATGCCTTCGAAATGGAATGCTACGATGCGAACTTCAAATGCCATGGTGAAAACAGAACTTTTATCACAATTCCACAGATATATGATGCAAAGAGGCAATGCGATGTAAACTGCTGATAGTTGTGTTGGTTTCAATGTATAATCATACAAATTCTACAAACCATAAAATTTAACGAGTGTACTGCCATACTACTGTACATGTATATTGTCCATACAAATGGTGCACAGTATACACCATGTACTGTTGTCAATTAGTACACAGCATTTCCATTGCACCCATGTGGACGGTATCGCTTGCAGTGGCAACCTTGAGTATGTAAATGCTCCTCATTTTCATTTGCGAAGTTCATTCAAATGTAATGGCTTTACATTACCAATGTGACAGATAAGTCCAATGTAGAGCCCTCAAAATATCATTCCTGTACAGATATTTACAGACTGTTCTGTGATAATGAAGGCAACGTGAAGACAGAAAATTTCTGATTTAAAAAACACTTGGGCCCCAAAATGCTTTTTTATGGGAAAAAAGGCAAGCGGACTGTCTGATAAATTTTATGATCTATTTATAATCTGTGGGGAAGACGACATTCTTCCTGGCAGTTTTGACATGATAATCTGTGAATTGGGCATTTGATAAAATGTGGCACAAATCAACCACACCATTGTTTTGACTGAAAATGGGAAAAAGCAGCGGAAGTAACAAAAAGGGGAAATTGATTAAATCTGCAACACAACAATACTGTACACATGGTAAACTAAGTGCCACTAATGTCCCTCAAAGGAATAAGGCTGTGCATGAATTATAACTGTGAGCCCTCGCTTGGCAGTGACATCATCTTTGGGGAGTTCAAAATGCAGATAGACCTTTGCATGCACAGTGACTGCATCATATGTGCAAGTTATAGGAAGAAACTGCTAGTTCTTCAAAGGTAGGTTGGCACAGTTCACAGTTGGATGGAATATGTTGAGTACAGAGAGTGGCTGACTTAATCCTCCTGTTCTTCCTCATCGTCCTGTTTAATAACCGGTTCACCTGTTCCAAAAATACCAAGCAGGAGGGAAAAGGTAATGCAAGCTCAACTCTTCACTCGCGCCCCAGTAATGCTCACTGAGATTAAGGAACAGAAACAAGCAGTTACTGTATGACCCAGAGTGGTCAACTCGAGTAAATATTCACGTGCGACGATGGGGAATCCATGAGAATGGGCACTCCATTCCATGTGTGTATGTTGACTTGAGTGCCAGGCCTATTATGATAGGGACCACTTCTGTCATCTCTTGGGGTACATGATTAAGGTTTAAGAGTTACAAAGAGCAGAGTATAGCTGTAGTCCATCCTGTCCCCCCCCCAAAAAAAACGGTTCTTCCTAAAAAGCTTCAATGGATCAAGCTGCTGATCTCTGAAAGGTTGACTTAGCAAACACATAGGTTTCTAGCCAGGAAGCAAGCCTGGGATCATCTCATTCCCATTTCAATTCTGCACGTAATATACAATGTAGTCAGCAAGAGTACCTATTTAAAGTATCTCCCCCCATGCCAGCTACCTTGGAGGACTTGCACCCCCCAACCACATCTTTCCATCAGCAACCTACCCCCTCCCCCCAGCCTGCCCTCCTTACCGTCCAGCTTCTTGAGATTGGGCAGTATCTTGGTGGCCCTGTCCCGCCAGTCCCCATCCAGTGTGTGCTTCTCCTCCAGGGGGTTGCCCACCATCAGCAGCTCCACCAGATTGCTCAGGGTCTGAAGCTTCTCAAACTCGGCCCAGTCCTTCACGTTGTTGTTGGACATGTACAGCACCTGCGACCGTGGGTGGAATGGAGGAGAAGGGGAAGGGTAAAGCCATATTTGTTTTAACTCCTGAGCTCAGACAACCCATGAACCACTTGCTGCTGGGGACTCCGGTTTCGGGCACCATGTGTTTATACGCGTGGCTGGGGTCTCCGAAATCGGACAAAGGGAACTGGGCCTTGTAACAAAAGACTGTACTCGGAAGAAAAGACCTCGCTGCTGGGCATTACCAACATTTATCACTCTCAATAGTGGAGATAATCCAGCCTTGTTTTGAAACAGTATACCACTGTTTGGGGCATTTAGTGTGAGAGGATTACCACCAGGGATAAAAGCGCTCCACCACTGCAGCGATGAGCCACACAGCACCGCTGCATGCTTATCTGGCCCCTATTGAAAAGAGGTCAACAGCGCACTGTACCAGGTTCGAGAACAAAAAGAAGTTACATAACTCCGCACAATCTGGGCTTTTTTACAAGGCTGCAGGCCTGGCTGAAATACTCGGGCGTCAATAGATTTTGTCTGTCAGACTACTGTGACCACCAGACAGTAATTTGTGTGGATATAAATGTCCATTAATTGAAATGATGAATTTTTAAAGAATTTTGAAAACTGAAAATCTTGAAAAAGTCCCGCTTATGTGCACTGCGTTTTTCAAACCACGCGGCAGCAAGTGGTTAATCATAACCCTACACGCCAAATTTTATTTCAAGGAATGTCTTACCGGCTGAACTGATCTTCTACAAAATGTGAGGTTCAATTAGGCACCAATCAATCATGAATAACTCTAAAATGAAAGTTGGCATTTTCAACATAATGTACCTTTAGCTTTTTGAGTGCCTGTAATGCCTTGAGCTTCTCAATTTGATTGTAGGAAATCCACAGCTGTTCAAGTGTCTCGGCAACTGCTTCCTAAGTTGAGGAAAAAATTCAGAATACATTAATTGATTTCTGAAGAACATCTTCATGTCAACACGTTTTCATGTGGGTTTTTGGAATTATGGAAACTCAGAACTCTAGAAATTGTTTGTGGTGGATGAGGGTGGGGCAAAAACTGCAAATTCAGTACGGACTGAGACCACAATGTAATATGAACCCACAAACTCCACCAAGAAATGACCACAGGTACCAGACGGAACAGCTACCAGATCTGGTACTTCAAATGGAAAAGTTGTCATATTTGCAAAAGACAGGTGATATTGTCTTTATGAGTTTGCATGATCCACCCACTTGCCACAAACCCAGGAAAACAGCCTCATAATTCTATATCTCAATGAGAGTGATGAGGTATGGTCAACTTACCACTCCGTTGAGATTCTTGATGGCATTTCGCCCCAAGGACAGAATCTTTAAGTTTTCTGTAAGTAAAAATAACTTTTGCATAAGCCAGAAGGCCAAACCTGGACACATGTTGTCATTCCATGACTCTCATTCTTTCAGACATTTTTTAATGTACTGTAACACAAGCTGCATCTACATGAGCCGATGACTGGGCTTCATAATGGCATCCCTCAACTCTCAGCAGCTGGAATACTTTGGATTCTTCCCTTTCAGCTGCCACCAAAGTGAACAGAAGCTCACTTTGAGCTAGGATGCAATAGCCATGTGGTGGAGTGTTACTTGTTCTCCTCATCTATATTGTGCATGCTCCCGTAAAGAGAAAGAGATTCACAGGTGAGTAAAAAAAAAAAAAAAACCCAAATAACTACAGATAGTAGAGAACTCACTCAGGCCATTCAGGTTGGCTATCTTCTCTATGCAGTTGGTTGACAAGGAGAGTCTCCTGCAAAGATACATGTACATGTACCATTCACGTATTAGGCACAATCTACCATAGCAGTTTTTTTGAAGCTGCAGTGATTTGCCATTATCAGGCTTACAAGTTACTGATGCATATGTGTACATTTTTTGTCTCTTTGTTTGATCCTGTGACAAGCATTCCATTCCAAATTGTCAACGTTAGCCAATTACAACATGTTTCGTTCATGAATAACATGACCAAACTCAAAGCACTAAGACTGCAAAATGTGTTTTCAACTTGATGTGCCAAACAAAATAAAACAGTCAAAACTTTGACAGGGTATGACCACCACCATGAACAACTTACTACATGTACACGTATAACAAGCAAGTGCAGAAAGTGGTTTGTTAAGGAAGGTCATATTCAAATAACACTATAGGTTCATCAAGTTGGACAAAAACACATCTGACTACAATGTATATTCAGGCACAAGAAAACTCATAATCAACATCTGGGTGCAAAATATACTAGGGACTAGGCTAAGTTTTAAAAACAAAAGATGAAAGATATCAAAGAAACGATGAAAAAAAAACAAATAAAGAAATTTCAAGTCAATGTAAATGAAAATGTATCTTCCCCCAACTGAGATCAAGTTAGCCATTTTGTCCAATCTTTAATCTTGAATCAAGCTTCAATTTTTGAGCACAGTCTCTCAGACAGTCCAATGAATGTGGAAGGAATCAACTCATCTGTTGATCAAGTCCTAACTCAACCTTCATTTATTCAAGAATGGAGGCCAATGGCACTTACTCGCAACTGGTGAGTGTAGACAGGGACGCATCCATCTTGTCAATAGGTGGTATCTGGAAGTATAGCTTGACCTCTTTTGCCTCACTGACCTTCACATCTTCTCCTTTCTCTTGCTTCTCCTTCTCTGCCTAGTGGGAATGAATGATCACATATCAAGATAAATACAGATGACTCCTATTAACTAGGAGGGTTAACCCTCCTATGCTGAAGTCACTCTTTGGGTCATTTGGTAAACACCTCAAAGAAGCACAGCTGTGTCGTGTTGTGCACTGCACCAACAGTCCCTCACAGGAATATCAGATTGCACTTTTGTGCTGCCAAACAACTGTGCTTCACTGATTCATGTGCATAATTGTGCAGTAAACCAAATGCAGTGAAGAGGACTGCACAAAAGACCCTGGGTCATTTTGTGCTGGCAGCCAACTGTGTGCACACTGAACTTGTGCATGTTTGAGTTCCATATAGAAAATACATGCTCACCAGTGACTGTGGTCATTTGTGCACATTTGTGCTGTAAAACCAAAGGAGGGTTTTCATGAATTTGTAACCGCAGCCGGATATTAAACCATTTATTCAATCAGAATTTCATATTCAGCCCGTCCTATTCCTCTTGTACATTTCACTGGGTAAACACAATCAGGACCAAGGTCTTATACATCTTAAGTTTACTGGTTAATTTTTCAGGAAATAAATGTATTCAGTAAAATGATATCCAGAATTCAGTGATGAACAGAGAAATGTGGGAATACAATTGCCTCTCATGAATACAAACACAATCGTATTTACATCCATGAATGCACACGTTTCAGCTAGAATGCTCCTCATTGGCATCATCCCTGGGTTTAATGCCTCGTTTCTTAATTACTTAGTCTGAAACATCTATGAATAAGACTAATAACCATTTGCTTTGAAGAGAATGGGACAGAATTAGAAGATCTTCCCTTTTTTAATTGATATTACGTTTCTGAAGCTAACAGTAACTACTTGCAAAAACAATTCATAGTGCCTGAAAAGAGAGCAAAATATAGTTTATCAACACTGAAATCATGAAGTGGTCAATAAAATGATTTTTAACCCCTCCAGAATTAAATCTTGAACTGACCCCAACACCCCATGTAGAACACATCACATTCCTACCAAAGTCATGCGGTAAACGTACACATAGAATGGTCATATACATGTAAGATGTGCAATAATTATTACATGTGAACTTACCCATTTGGCAAGAGCATCCTTTATTGTTGTTCCCTTTGACTGCATACAAAATAACAAAATAGAAAAGTCTCTTTTCTTCTTTAATTCACAACTTTGGTCACAGTAAGAACACACATGTATGCTGTAGTTTTCAACAGTTTTTTTGCAATCAATTCTTCAAGGGCACCCAACTGACAACAAATAGTTTTTAAATAACTGTTGGTATTAAGAAAAAGGAAACATGTACTGAAGGAAAAATGAAAGACAGACATCACCAGGAGAGAAAGAGACTATTTAGGCCTTATTCATTTACCAATGTCAGTGAGGCACAGCATGCAGCTTTATTAAAGTTGCTGCTGTTACGGAAGTTTAGACAGGTTTCCGTCTACATTCTTGCACCTGTCGGGTGCACTGGAAACGGACAAGATCACTGCAGCATTATTGTGCACACCCCATTGTGGCTGTGGCCTCACAGCGTGCTGGTTGGGGTGGCCAATACACCACCCATTGGTCCTGTGAATGCTACGTCGGCGGATTCCTCTGCATACATGTATGCACGTCATGCCTGGCAAGTCAAGTCGCAATGAAATGTGGCAGACTTTCATTTTGCCCGAACACATTGATATGCAGTCTGTGTTTATTGCCCGCACTCTGTCATGCCTTGCACTGTTGACTTGTCATATTGGACGACTTGGTCAATGGTCAAGTTGGTAAATTGGTCAAGTTGGTAAATGGTCAAGTTGTCTGACATCCAACAAGTTGACTGTGGTATGAGTTGACTGGGTACAACTTAATCCAGGTTCAAGTTGACCGAGGTATGAGTTAATTGGAGTATGATTTAACCTAGGTAACATTATATATATCATTACTATTAATCATTTCTGGTAAGGACATCAAGGATTCCTCAAAAGTGCCCTATAGGCACTTTAGCTCAAAAGCCTGAAGAAACCTGTAGAGAGGAGACAATGTGAAGAAGTTACAGTTTTAGAGGTGTGAGGAAAATCCCACAGGAATGTTCTGATTAAAACCCTTAGAATCGGGTAGGGATTGAAACTCCAATTTACATGTGGAACGCTACGGGATTTGAACCTGGACCTCAGAGGTGGAAGGTGAGGAAAAAACCACTACCCCAACCTGACTCCCATGAGATACAAGTTAACCCGGGTATGAGTGAACCCAAGATCGTATGATTCGGCTGTGTACGAGTAGACATGTGCACAAGTTGGCCACCTGCAAAAGAGTTGGTCATTGTACAAGCTGTATATGAATTAACCTGTTTCCAATGTACATGTATGTGAGGCAACTTGAAGGATCCTTCTGTAACTAGTGCTGGGCCTAAGCAGATGTCAGACAAATTTACAAACTTGACACGGGACAATTTGACCGTTGAGATAAATCCACCGGTGGAACAACCTGATCATTTACAAAGACAACTTGACTGCTTAAAGTGTGAACATGCCAGAGTTTGAGGCATTTAATACAGATCACAGATCAGTGTGTTACATGGCATGTATGGGGACCCAGTAATGCAACATGGGGAAGGAAGGAATAGTGAAGGTGCGTCAGCTACCCTGACCAGCATGGTGCATGATCGTAATGCGACGGGGCATGCACAGTGACATTCTGTGGTGCACAGGTGCCTCGGCCGCGAGAAATGATCAGTTGCTGCCAACATGGGAGATGGTAAATCCATCCCTCAGTCCTTTCTCTTTTTACATTGAGAATAGGTGGAAGCGATGTGACTGTAAACTGCAAGCACACTCATTACAAGTCCACTTGCATGACTTGTCTCAACTTAAGCGACAATTTGTCCCAACGCAACGGTCAAGTTGTCTGCCCATTTAAGGCATAGAGTTGGCAAACGGTCAAGCTGTCCGAGCCCTGCCTATGCTATGGAAGCCTATACCTACTACAGACCTTGCCAAAGACCCTAACACTAAATTCAAGCTCTGAAATAGTTGGAAGAAAAAGCTAGGTAGGAACATGATTAACCAGAATAGGCCCTGCATGAAGAGAACAGACAAAAACACTTGAACACATTTTAAGACGAACAAGCCAAGGCATTTTTATGTACAATATGTACAAACCGTCCGTTAGGCCTAGTTTAATGTAAGATGAAGTTCACACACAGGATAGATACGGAAAAATCGACAGCAAAGGGCATAATGACCAGAGAAAAGTTTTTGGACATGATACTGATAGTTGATACAGGCATGACAGGCCTAGGCCTAACTCGGCCTGGTTAAACGTACCATTTTGCCTTCAACTGCGATCCTCTGCTGAAATCTACTGCTGTTGAATCAATTTTTCATAGATATGGCATCATTTCAATTTTAGTGTCAAGTTAATGTAAACTTTAGCGAACTTGTTTTTCAGAAAATCAGTCCAGTCAACTCGACCATCAGACAGTGGACTTAAACCGGATAATATCACTCGGCGCTATGGTGACCATAGCATCCTCGTTCAGGTATGATTAAAGCTTAGCTCAACAACATCAACGCATTACAATATTTGTTCACATATAAATTCTTCACAAAATTAATTTTAAATATAAATATTTATTATTATCTATTAATGTGTTGTTTTGCCTAAATTTATTTATCATATGATTTTTAATATGTTAACGTGTTATCATTTAAAATGGCAGCCCCCGTCAGCGCACCGAATCTGATTTTGCGGAAAACTGTCCGCATGTTTCAGGCATTCAAAAGGGTTAGTGTGTCTCTATGTGTATAATCATTGTCGGCAAAGCATCCAGAGGACACATCACACCAACTGTATTAGTTGTGCGCCACGCGTAGGGAGATTGACGTAAATTACTGTGTTTACTGTGGCAGTGTGGTGTAATTTTTAACCTAGCTAGGCCTACCGGTACCCCCAGGCCTGGGGCCAATTTCATCATGTTCATAGAGGTCCTTAAGCACAAAATCTGCTTCAGTGCGAAAAAACTTAATAAACAAAGGTTACCAGCTCAAACTCAATGTGATTGCCATGCTAACCATAGGACAGCTAAATACCATTCCAAAACAATATACACTACATGGAGTTTTGGCTGGTTACCTGGTTTATCACGCAAGGTTTTTTTTTGCTTAAGCAAATTTTGTACTTAAACAGCTCTATGAAATTTGGCCCTGCAGAACTGTCACCTGTGAGGCGTTGGGGTCCTTCGTCTGCTCTGGAGTGGACGTCGGACCCCATAGTTCTGGGGGTACTACTAGGTAGGCCTATTATTATTAAAATAGCATTAGACCTATTCATTCATCTAATAAAGGTGGGGGTATTGGACCCCTGGCTAAGACATGTAAGAAAAGCAAGAAACTCGATCAGCTGTGTAGTTTTTGAATGCAGTTGGTCAAATTCTCCAAATTTTTCACGATGTATGTATGGATACTATGGGGCCGCCATCTTTCTTCCACGCAGAAACAGGATGGCGGCCGGTCAGACTGTACTAACAGGCCCGACTTTTGTCACTCAAATTTCAACACTCAAATATTTCAGATAGATAAAATACATTGAATTTGATATGTAGGATCCTAATTAACATTTTAGATTAAAAAATATTTGCATAAATATGCTTGAATAACTTGCTGATGCTTTGTTGACACTCGTTGACCCTAAATAGCATGGCCCATGTTAACCTAAGGCTAGGCTGTGTTTAACTTAAAATATAAGATATATGCCTAACGTGCGTGACGGTATAGTCGCCAGGTCCCTAATTTCACCATTTGCACTAGTTTCGCGTACTGTGAAAACCAATCAGACTGAGCGATAGGTGGCAAAATTAGGGTCCTGGCGTCCTATACCATTACGCACATTAATGAAGAACACAGATAATCAGTATTAAGTTTAAACTATTACCAACCATACTCATGTTTTGCTTCATTTGTTCAGGTGGATATTCTGCAGTTTACTAAGAGGAGGAATCCAGCTGTGGTATTTGGAATTTTGTCAAGATGCAGCCACTATCAGAATAACTTAAGGTACCTTTTTTACAGTAGTGCTGCTATTTACATGTGTGGCTGTTGCCAGGTTTTTGTGCATGCAGGCTGGGGTGCCATTAGTAGTAAAGGGTGGTCAGTGGCAATGTGTCGTTTAGCTAATTGGTTCCCTTTTTCTTTTTAGTTTTCCTCATTTCATTTTTTTAGGGGAGGGGGGCAAGTCACCATCCTCCCTTCCCCCCACGATGCCCATGTTTACATGTATTCCTCTTTTGTACATACATGTACATGTACAAAACCAGAGTTTCTGGATGTTTGGCATGTTGGAAAGGAAACCTGTGAGAAATTGTTCCGGAACGGCATGGTTTAAATGCCAGCCATTTTGCAACGTTCTCTTCATTTGTTGGCACAGTTCAATCCTTTTTATGTTTCTTTGTTCATTTTATCATCCAGTCTAACACTGCATAGCAGACTCTACTTCTCAGCACAGAAATCTCAATGTAAGTGTAATTTCAGCTGTAATCTAAGTAAAGAAAAATTTATCTTACATTGCTGTCAGAACAGCTGATCTCTTAAAGTTGATGTTTATGATTTTTTTGTGATACATTTGTGAGTGGTACATACAGTTTTCACTTTAATTTGCTACTTTAAATTTTTCCACTCGAAGGACACGTACATTCTCCTGGTGCTGTACATGTAAAGTGTAAGAACATTGCGCAGTGACAAGTGTGTGTGTGTGTTTTTTGGGGGGGGTTCACAAAATTCTGTAAAGCTTTGGGATGTGCCATTAGATAAGAACTCTGTGAAAACTGACCCCGACAAAAAATTGTTGAAACTAAATGGACTCAATCTCGAGCCATGAGTTAACATATGAACAGATGAGGCTTATCCTGAAATTTTTTTCTGAAATGCAACTGCATTCTGGTGACATTGTCCGGATATCCCCATCACAAAATAACAGAATTACACAAATGTTAAAATTTTTCCTTGCTGATTACTGATTTTACCTTGAATAGGCCTGTCTCATCCTTTTAAAAGCAGCATTAAGATTCTGGTGGATGTTGGAGGTCTGGAAGGCAGGGCAATTCTCAGTTACATTTTTGATAAAAAATCCTATGATTGACATCCTTTCTCGGCATCTGAAATTGGCCCAGGTATATTTCCATTATGCCATTAATATTACTGACCCCAGTTTAAAAGAGGTTTTAGAAAATAACTTGGTATAAAAACCTGTTTCTGTCCGATATCACCCATGAACCGACATTTCTTATACCTCTGACCTGAAGTGAAAAAGTTAAAAAGAAAAAATTAACAATTCTAAACTGGGGTCAGTATATTTATATTAATGGCAAAATGGGAATATGCTTGGGCCAATTTCAGAGGGAGAGGAAGGATTGCATCGTAGGATTTCCCAATTTTTTGTCACACACATTAAACCGAGAATGGCCAGGCAGAGCCCAGCCACTATTACTTCGCACAGGGCTTGATGGATCTTGTACACTTACTTGGGTCGTTGCTTTCCCTTTGCACTGGAGGATGTGAAGGATTCAAGAAGGGTGCATGCTAAAAGCCCAGGAATCTTTGGGTGAATGGACATCTGTTCACGTGTTTAGTTAGTTAGTTTTGCCCAAAAATTTATATTTACCATACTCACTTGAAATACAACCATTTAACAAAAGTGAAAGTCTTTTTTCTTGTGATCACTGCAGTAAACCATTCATGTTTACCAGCAAGCTTTTGCCAGCCATGCAGTCGATGTTTCAGTACCCCAACTGAACAGAAGGCACCAGAGGGTAGCAGTAGTGAGGTGAATTGTCTTATCACTCAGTCATCTAGGAAGATGTGCAGGAGAACATTGGGGATATGTGAACATTCATTGAATTTGATCAAGGAGTCAGATTGCGACATCAGCGCTATTTGCAGCTTTCAAGTGATTTGATGCAGAGGAAATGTAATGTGTAATCAGGGACGATTTACCCAGGGATGTGCAACTGCGAAAGGCCCCAGTGCAAACACATGTGCGACCTTGGTTCCATGCATGTTACGGATTGTTATTACCCCCGCAGGCGCTCTTAACTTTCTCGAAAAAACTTGCGACCACATGATATGCATTGCAGCATACAGCATGTACAGTGCAGCCGTGGTTATGACGAGAAGACAAGCCATTGCGGTGCTTAAATCTATTCGTTTTGATGGATAAAACTTCTTCATTTATCAATTTCAAGGAGAAACGTAGTTTTAATGAGGCAAAATTCCCCAGTTTTGTGGTACACTTTTCTCAGAATGTATAGGATGAAATATCTTGAGCAGCATATTTTTAGAAAGGGTGTACCCTGACTTAAAATATTACAAGAAAACAAAGTGGTAGACAGGAATATATGGTTTATTATGAGAGAAAGTTTTACATAATCCAACTTAATTTCTGCTTTGATATTGTGCCGGCCGTAACAGGCACTGAACCAGGTCTGAGCTTAAGTTGCACATCCCTGGGTAAATGGTCCGTGGTGTAATCCAGTGGTGATGATGCACTTTTTTCAAATTCTAGGAAGGGGGATTTTCCTTAGTGTGTTCATTAAGTGATTATAATTGGCTTGAAATGTGATTTTGGTTAAATTTACTTGCTAATAAAGATATGGTGTTTGCACTCTGTAAAACTTTGTTGGAAATAATATAGACTAATCCGATTAGAAGCCATAACTGAGGGGGCACCGTACTCACACGTACATTCTTCAACTTGACACGTGCATACATTTGGCATATCACGACACCCTATTGGTTCAAGAGGCATGTAACGCGTGCGTGCCACCTGTCCACGAGAGTTGTGCCACCGCAGTAATGGCTTCTAATTCTGCTGGTCGAATTACACTATAGGAATGAAATTTTTGATGTGGTTCACATTAATTTACTGTTGTCTCTTGATTTTCACAATTTCTTACTGCTAATAGGAGAAGCCTGAAGAGTTGGACACCCTATACAAATCAATTGAGTTGAAGATCAAAGGTCATGATGAAGCCGTACTTGACAGCTATAAGGCATTTGTGTCTATGGCAGCGAAGGAACTTGGGGTTACTCTACACAGCGTGTAAATATATTTTGAAGTGTTAAATGTTCTTTCAAAGTGGGATGGATAAGATGAGCATATCTGTTGAGCAGTGTTGATGGATCAGTACTTTCAGTAGTGTAAAAAGGGTTTTTTTTGCTCAGTTTTTGCTCCTGTGTACCTTTTTCCATGACGGACATTTCATGAAAATGGTGAATCTCACACCTGGTTGACCCTATCTGCAGTTTGTATTGGTTTACTCATTTGATGGAGTGGGAACAGAAGTAACATATCAAAAAGCACTGCAAGTACATGTAGTTAGAAGAACTACATGCTCCTGTATGGGTCTACTCTTTCACAACAATGTTTAAGCTTTTATTTGATTGAGTTCTTCAAAACCACACAGGATAAGGAAGATTTCACTCAGAAATATGCATGACAATGTGATTAACTCTAAATCAAAATGGTGCAGGTTTACAATTTTATGGGTACTTCTGAAACATCTCCCGTTTTGTTTCCCAGATCCAAACCGCTGAGGAAAATTGAGCGATTAACCTTACTGAAATCCAGACACATCTACAAGAAGCACAGAGTACAGTATGAAATACGAACACACTTCAGAATCCTTGAGGTAACTGTTCATCTGAGATTTCACCAGAAAACCTTTTGCATTTTTCTGTTTAATGTGTTGAAATAAACAGGCTGCATGCACATATGGAAATTCTCAGCACATGTATGTACATAAGTATTCTAACTGGTAATTTTTAAAGGTTCACTTGTTAATGGTGAGGTTTCAAGATTATTTTTGTGATTGTAGGCGGTCAATCACAGTTTCATAATTCTAGTATTCAGTGTTGTATTCAAGTCCACTTACAAGTCCTTTCACAAGTCCACTCACAAGTCCACGCACAAGTCCACTCACAAGTTCTTTCACCTGTTCACAAATCCACTCACAGGTCCCTTCACAAGTCCACTCACAAGTCCCTTCACAAGGCCAGCCATAACAGTAACAGAAGAATGCTTTTGTCACAGCTCATTTGAATAGCTTGTGAACTGGTTTAAGACTGAATGATTTGCAGGCACTAGTGATGGGTTCAAATACAACACTGCTGCTATTTTGCAATTTTCAGCTTGTGAACTGGTTTAAGACTGAATGATTTGCAGGCACTAGTGATGGATTCAAATACAACACTGCTGCTATTTTGCAATTTTCTGTCTGTCTAGTTCAAGCACATAACTGGAAGCACAGCAGATGTTTTCTTGGAATATGTGGAGAGAAATCTACCAGAAGGGGTGGCTCTGAAAGTGACAAAGGTACATCAAAGTTTTCAAAACTAATTATCAAGTTTTTACTGGTAATTTCCAAACGATGATGGATGGCACTTATCCCTAGTATGATATTTACAGTGTGGAAAATTTTGTTTGATGCTTCATGGCAAGTGCTATGAAGTTGTAAATAAAGTAGAAAAACTTGCCAGATTGTCAGAAACTAAGAGTTGAATTGTTTGAAAAAATTACAGAGCTGTCAGTACTTTTTGTACTGTTAGTGAAGATCTAATGTTCAACACACTCTTGGATGGCTCACCACTCCCAAATTGCTACTGACGACTTGCTTCATTGTGTTTAAACTTGTAAATCATACAGCTTATAAAAAGCATACAACGTTTGTAAGTGATTCGGTTTAACTTTTTTGAAATGCATTTGACTAAAAGTGAATTGAATCTGTGCAAGTTTTAGTATGCAAGCACAAAATTTGTTTTAGTTTTCATAGGCTGCTATATTTGTAATTATTGTATTGTGGTGAAGACCATTATGTGCAGTCTCGAGAGAAAGGGGAGAGTTATGTCCTCATTGTATTGGAAAGATGTTCATGGGTTGTAGCCAAAACTGATGTTATTTAGATCATTTTGTCTTTTTCTCTTGAAGTTTAAGTCTGTTACTTTATGTGATACAATTTCAGTGTGCACTGGAAAAGCTTCCAGACCATCTCCAGTCTCCTCCAGAGACCAATGATGAGTCATCCTTCCTCTCCTCTTCCATGTCATCATCTGATTCCTCCTCTTCGGAAGATGACGATACGAATCTGAGAGACACAAGGGAATGATGCTCCCACCTGCTACACACCCTTTACTTAAATTATAAACTGTAAAGTCATTGTAGAACATTATGGACATTAGAGCATGCAGAGAGGGACGTTTACTCAACGTTTTGCTTGGTTAAGGATGGATATTGTTACGATGTTTAAAGGCCGCCTATGTCAAGATGAATGAAGGTAGCTCACATTGAGCTCGTGCTCCTGCTTTTTTTAAAGTTGCCCCATCAATATCTTTGTAGTGTTGTGAGTCATCACATTTGGGTTATGACAGGCATTTTTTGCTTGGTTTGATTGTTGCAAACTAATGATTTTCCTTTTGTACAATTTGGTGCACACAGAATCTAAAAATTAATGGAAAGAAGGTAAAATGGTCAATTTACTATCAACTTGACATTTTGCTTAGATGGGGATTGGTATGTTGGCCCTCAAGGGGGGGGCGAAAGCATTATAAAAAATAGCTGAAGTTGAACATGGTTTTGAGGATTTTGTTCCTCCCAATATGTAAATACTTGAAAAGAATGAGCAGTGACATTTTCAAACTTTCATTTCATCAGATTCTGAATGTAGGATATTTAATAATATGTACATTACTTGTCAATGTCTTTTTGGCTAAATTCACTAATGTTTAGTTAATGTATCACACGTCCCGCAGATATGGTCTTCAGCACAGGCTTAACATTACTGTACTAGAGACAACACATCTTGTGTGTTCATCAGTGACAGTACCCAGTTATGGCGCATACCTAGCTGGCTGGCGTATTGTGCTGTTCATTGTACCCCAGGAAGACCTCTTTTACAAAATTAAATTATGATGTTTGTCTTTGGATACCCCTTCTATTTTCAGATGCTGTGTGCAGAGGAGAGGAACAAATCTCATAGTTTTAAAACAGCATTATGAAAGTTGTGCTAAAGTTGATATCGGTAAGGCAGAAATATAAAAGAAAAATTGAGGATTTTAAAAAAAATTCTAATACAGGTAAATGTGAAGATTACCTAAATGATCTTGTGACTAGTTTGGTCATGACGGTTGCGGCCAAAATAATTGACTTAAAGATCTCTCAAAATACATTTGTATATCATGTAGTTGGCATTCTCCAAAAACACGCGAGTGGCAGGGCCCAAACTTTACTGTCATTTTCTCACAAATTCTCTATGGTTTTTCACTTTCTTCTTCAAAACCCTCATATATCGTCACAGCTGTTACTTTCTGGTATAAGTTGGTTTGTTGGGTACAAAAGAGTTTATTAAAATATTGTGTTTGTCTAGAGCAAACAAGGTGAAAAGAAATCTGCCCATTCAGAGTTTAGTTGAAGCTTGCAGATCCTGCATTTACCAATCGCATTCATGTTACAACCAAGAGTAACTAATTTCCTTTTGAAATCGGTCAATTTTTGGAAGCATATTTTTTTACTTTGAAACCTTTCTGGCATACTATGCATTCATCTGTTACTTGTTAAGAAGGTACTTTGGAACATTCTGAAGAAATTATTCCATGTAATTGGTGTTTGAATGGTTCACCTCCTCCATAGCTTCGTGGATGCTGTACTTTGCCTGTGTGCTATCCAGTTCCATGATGCAATGAGAATGTAAAAAAATGTCACGAAGCCAGTTTGCGGGGATTTAGCATTTTGCAGCACAAATAAATTGGGTTTTATAAATGTATCTTTGCTTGATGATTTCAAGATCTATTCCCATACAAGCATGCTGTATTTGTTGGTCCAGTACGAATATTGCATTTTGGGTCCATATACGCTGACCAGAATAGGCTATATTTAATTCTTAATTTGCAAAAACTTTCAAGGGTTTAAGTGATGAAATTTTCTTTAACGCACTTGTTTGCAAGCCCGTACTTGTCTTTAATGTAAGAAAATTGTTTGACTTGTATTTAAAAGTTCTTGTTTTAAATATTTGAAATTGTTCATACTTTTACACACAGCTGAGAGGGCTCTTAATTTTGGTGTCATTCAAGAAAAACACTGCTCAGTTATGCATTTTTCTTGCTGTTATAAACCCAAAATTTGTCAAGTGAAAACATTTCAGAGAAAGCTAGGGCAGTGCTTGTTGATTTTGCCGTTATGTATGATATGTATTTGCACAACTTTAACAGAAGGAAAGTTATGACTGCAAAATATTAAACTATCCCAGCAATTTTTTTAAGTATAAATCAGTGTAACATTGAAAACAGTTTTGCTCGTAAATATGGACAGTCTTATTTATAAAATACCCTTTTTAAGTAGTGAAATAAATTGAAAACCAGGTTGAGACACAGAGTTCCATTTTCAACAGTTGTCTGAAAAAGTCGTATTATTACCCTTTAAAAAACGAGTTCCAACGTACGTGTACTGCCATACACATGTATATAAAGCGGATAGGTAGCATCTTTGTTGGGCATACATCTGGCGAGATTCTGTACTTGAACTTGGTTAGATTACTACGTGTAGTAGACATAGGAGACAGGTGTTATGCTTGACTGAAGTTTCTTGTATACTCCAATTTCTGGCGTTTACTTCTAGAAAGTCAGAACAGGCGCCTTAGACGTACACCCTCTAGATTTGCCACCCCCAAAGTTTACCGTGATATGCCATGCCACATGCATACCACGTAGGCTGTCTGACTGCCGTAGCAAGCAATATGTCGTCTGCCGTTGAAAAATCACTTTTTGGGAACATTAAATTAAGAACAGTCGAGATGCACACAGCAGGCGAGCCTTTCCGAATCGTAGTATCGGGCTACCCTAAATTTGAGGGGGAAACTATCCTAGAAAAGCGCCGCTTTGCAAGGGAAAAGCTTGACCACCTGCGCAAATTGTTGATGTTCGAGCCACGCGGTCACCACGATATGTACGGCGCTATCCTGGTGGAACCAGACCTCCCGGGAGCTGATCTAGCAGTCCTGTTTACCCACAACGAGGGCTACAGCACAATGTGCGGCCACGGAGTCATTGCCCTGGGAAGATTTGCCGTGGATCATGGCTTCGTTAAGCCCCAGCAGCCAGAGACTGAAGTAGCTGTGCAGTGTCCTTGTGGTTTGGTCAGGGCATTCGTGGAGTACAACGAGGAAAGGAAGAAGACCGGTCAAGTGAGGTTCAACAGTGTGCCAGCATTTGTGTTTGCACTAGGTAGTGCGATCTGCAACTTTAGTTTATGAATAAATTATGATTTATTACCCTTGATTATTTCTTCCATGTGGTGCACCAACTTCCTAAACTTGAAGACTCAGGCAAGGAATATTAAGGAATTTTGTTTCTACAAGTTACTAGCCTGAGGCCACTGTCCCCAACTAGAGCATCAGTCCCAACTACAGTGTGCTATTTATTGTTGGGCTCAGAATGACAGAAGTCCAGCGTGTGCATGTGCTATTGTTTACATCAACTTTGCTTTTTTTAGAAGAAATTTTGTACACAGATTAAGTGTCATTAATTTGATTAATTATGTCATGGAGTGAACTGCATAAAGTTGGAGAAGGTTGAGAAATTTTCTACAGACATTAGCCAGCAATAGTTGGGCCAACTGCAGCACTATAGTTGGGACAGACGCTATAGTTGGAGTATAACAATAGTATGGGAGGCACACATTTTTCAAGGGGGGCACTAAAAACAAACCTTTTGTACAAACATGCATTTTCTGTACATTTCAAAACTTCAAGGGGGGGTGGAAGGGACCGACTTTGGCAAGGAGAGGGGTGGGGGGATCTGTCAGAGCTTGTGGGGAGAGCAAGTTACATGTTCATGTATGTGAGTCCGATACAAGAAAAACCCAGCCAACATAACTATTAACCACTATGCATGCACATTCCATGTAATTTCACGAGGCTGATTTTGTGAAAAGCTATAAAATCAACTTTCTGTTCTGAACTTGCAGTTTGGAATGAATTCTAAAATGTGCAGTGGCTTTTGATACTGGCCTTTATGGTCTGACCTGAACTCCATTAAGGATGTTAAGGAAAGTGAAAAACTCCTCGTAATAAGTTTCCAAGTGATCTATCAATGAAAACTAAACTGATGTTCTGTTTGAAATTGAATTTTCAGATACTGAAGTTCAAGTTGAGGGGTACGGCAGTCTCAAAGTGGACATTGCTTATGGTGGTGCCTTCTATGCCCTCATCTCAGCCCATGAGTTTGGACTTGACGTGAGGAGGAGCTGTGTCAAGGATATTGTGAATGCTGCAACTGCTGTCGCCAGTGCCATCAAGGCCAAGGTTCAGATAAAGCATCCCGACAGCGAGGGATCTGATCTTGATTTCTTGTATGGTGTCATTGTGACCGATGGGCAGGATGCCTGGAGTGACCAGCCAACTGCGAACATCTGTGTCTTCGCTGATGCAGCGGTAATTACTGGGGTTTTCCCAAATCCTTACTTTGTCTCTTGCTTTGCCTAGGTCACCCCCACTGACTGTTGATTTTTTAGCTCGGTTGAAAGTCTTGCTTGCTAGAGAGCAGTGAAATGTTTGCTCTTGACCCTAAGATGAAAATATTTTCATTCAGTGTGAGCATTGTAGACGCATAAGTTGTTTCAGGATTGAAGTCAACTCGTATGACATGACATGGTAGTACTAGTAATTTTTCATGTTGGCTTTGACCTAACTCTCCCTACTATGTTAAATTCTTTGAAAGGTTGACCGGAGCCCCACAGGATCTGGTGTAACAGCTCGTGTCGCTCTGCAGCATGCCAAGGGCCAGATAGCCCTTCAGCAGACCCGCAGCTTTGAAAGTGGCCTGTGCGGTACAGTATTCACCGGTAAAGCCATCAAGATGACCAAGTGCGGCTCTGTAGATGCGGTGATAGTGGAAGTCTCAGGTAGAGCTCACTACACCGGAGAGGCAACCTATACCATCGACGAGGATGACCCAGTTGGAAGTGGGTTTTTGCTCAGGTAGATTGCAAAAAGGGGAATTCTCATGAGAATTTTGCATAAATCTTATTTAGTTGTCAAGTTCATTTCCCTCCAACACCACTGTCCACCCACTCCTCCCCCTAAAAAATATTGATTGATAATTAAAGGTTTGACAGGTGTTTTACTTTTCACTGATTAAAAAGCTGAAGTAATGTGAACAGACATGACCTGAAATTGAATTTTCAAAATTCCTGGTTGAAAACAGGGTTCCAAAAAAAAAAGGAGAAAGAAAAAAAAATCTTTATAAATTGACTGTATTTCATGTTCATTTTCCAAGCCTTCAGTTTATAAACAAAATGTCCCCCATATAAACAGACAGTAAATTCTAAACCTTAAGTGTCTCCATCTTTGGAAACCTCTGTTTGTGTTGTGATGGTACTGCATGCTATAATACGCTTGAGAACGAACAGGACAAATGTTGAAATAACATGCAGTGTGTTACACCATCCCTGCTGGCCATTTTCTTTCCCCGTGCAGTGCAGTACAGGATATTGTCAATCTCGTTTTTCTCTGTAGTATTCTAAATTGCTTGTTATTGAGCTGAAATGGTTTCACTCTTAATTTCTTTTTCATTCCATGCAGTAAAATGACCCCATAATATCTGTAAGTTGTGAAATATTGATTGTCTCAAGTCAAGTAAGTGGTGCCATGAGGGGTGTGAACCTCCGTCCCTACCCAACCTGGCGGTAATAAAGAACAATCAATAATTAATTTTTTATGTGGCGGTATTTGAAGCATTTAAAAAAGTATTATAATAAATTCTGAGCATTTGGCTAATTGTAAGAATTATAAACTCATTCAGATTACTGATTTGTTGACTTTTGTTTTATTTGAATTTACATATATATATATTTGCTTCATTAAATGTTCCATTGGTATAAAAAACTTCAAGCAACCAGGAAATAAATTTTCTTGGAATCACTTTTTGTGTATCTCTGTACACTTCTTCCTTGTATGAAGGCTGTTTGATATCTTTTTTGAGTTACGTGAACTGAACGGTGCACTTTTTCAAACATTAAAAATTCTGGACAAGTGAGGGCGCTTTTGCTTTGATGTAAATCCAGGAAGACATTCTTCAGGTTGCATGTTTTCATGTTCAAATTGTGAATCCCAAATTTGCAATCTGGGAACATTTCTGTGAGGATTTTTGCTGGATTATTGCCATATACTTACACAGCAATAAATTGCCAAATAAAATAAGATCTGCCATAGGAGTGGTTAAAAATGTAGAAATTTTCTGTGCACAAATCAGTGCAAAACTGTGATTCAGTGCCTTGGATAACATCACAGATCTGCTCATGAATATGCAAATGTGCATTAGCATAAAACAAGAAAAGCATCAAAATATAGGTTAAAATTGCAAAAGAAAAATTTAAATTCAGGTTAATTGAAACCCAAAGGTGCAATCTCTAGGAGTTTCAGTAAAATTTATAGAAATATTTCTATTTCGTGGTTCCTTTAAATTTTGTCCTACATTGCTGAAGCATAACGGAGAAAGCCCACATTTTGATTTTTCTGCAAACTACATGTGCATGTGAATGGCTCCATTTACAAGAGCCGGTGTAGTTATGGGAAAATAAATCTGTAAGTGTAAACACATTTGTTTTGTCTAAAAGGCCATGAGGACATGGGACACAGATGCACTTCATTCTCCATGTTTCGGAAGAAGCTACATGGAGTTCTGAATTTATCAAGCATTCCTTTTAAGGTAAATGCACATAATCCTCAAAAAAGATGAATCAAGTCACTTTTTGACATCTATTAGATTGCTATCCTGGTGGGTTTCAGTACAAATAGGTAACTGAGGTTAGTGTTATGGACATATGCAACATATTGATTATACTAACACTATTGATTACACTAACAGTCATATTCTCTTTATCGTAGTTTGCTAAGACATGGCCAAGAGGGGGTACATCCTTACTGGATGAATTTGCATTGACAAAATATAGGCCATGTATTGCTCTCTGGAGGTACTCAATACTCGTCATTATGAGGAAAACAGTGGCTTCTGGTAATAGTGTTTGCATGTTGATCGACATTATTTGGTTACTACTGCACATCTGTGCTCAATGAAGGAGTGACAGTGACTGAGAGATAGTGTTGCTCCGCTCTCTCTTGTTACAGTCTGGACAAGAATGTAGGCAGAGTGGCTGAATAAAGTCAAGTGGTATGTGTACCCGTATATGCAGTAGACTGATCGAGCAACATCAAGGAGGTAATATGAGATCTACTGCTGTCCAATCGGCATCCATTATCTGTGAACCATGAACGTTCAGTTTCAGTTTGCTTGAAGTCAAACAAATTCTTAGGTTGCATTTGTCAGAAGGAACTGCCTACACATCTCCTGGTATTTCTCCAGTGGCTCAGTCTTGACGGTAGGGTCCTTGGCCCTTTCATCCCACTGTCGCATCTTCAGGGTAGCAGCTAGCTGCGGCTCCGTTTCAAATACCTTGGCCTCCTCTGCCGTCATTGGTCCTCCCTGGTGTACCAGGGTCATTTTGCTAGCCTCAGAAAGTCCTGAAAGTGGAAAAGGGTAAATATTAACTGGAATAGGCCAAGACAAATGGTTGTGTACAGATGAGAAGAAAGCAATGGGGAATATGAAGACAACTGAAGTTTTTGTTTATCTTAGTCTGCTTTTGAAGTTCCTTGTCCCATTATTATTGTTCTCATTGGTATAAAAGTTTCACCGTATGCTGATCTTCCCCAACCAGTACTTACTGTCATAATATCCTGTGTCTTTGAAGACGAGGTAGCGTTTGGCATCCACATGCCCCTTTGAGAAGATGCTGATGGAGTGTGGGATGCCGAGACTCTCTAAGAACTCTTGGCCGATGATCTCATGCCCTCGGGCACCCAAAACAACCCCATCTGTCTCCATGCGCTTGGCTTCCTGCTGTAGGCCAACCAAGTGTCCAATGTCATGGAAGAGCGCTCCCAGAATAATCTTGGATCAAACAGAGTAACCAGTTTGAGCATTTATAACATGGATTGATCATAATGATTTTAGAATTATGGCCTTTTGAGCCTGATCATGGAATGACTAGCGAAGTGTCTTAAGAACTTTAGACGGTGAAAACATGCAGTGACATGGGTGTTACACATTCAGACATTTCTTCACTTTGCATACCATTAAAGATCTACACAACAAAACTTTTCCAGTAATATCCTTATGTTTGTGTCACATTATAGCCCTGTTTTCAGTTTTTATTTCTGCCATTTTTAAAAGTATTTTGGAGCAGTTCTTTGTTTTAATCTAAACAAGGTTAGTAATTTCTTATTTAAAAAAGATTGTTTTGGTCAAATCAACTTGTGAAAAATTTAAAATGGATTTTGAATATTTTGTTGTAAAAGTAAGAGACAAGCAGGCACTGTTATCCATTTTAAAGCAAATGTAGCTGTGTATATGTGTTTTCTTAAAAAAATTACACAAATTGGAATTTGAATTAAAAGGATTTAAATCAAGAACATGTACATGTATTAAATTTGATTGAAGTCACATATCAGCATATAGGACCGTGTTTGAAATGGGGCTTTAAGTTTTAAAACTAGATTTCACAGAAATTTAACTATGAACTCAAACTTAAGGATCAGTGAATGAAAAAATGCCATCAATCTCATGTACTTATTTTACATGGTAGTTGTACATGTAGGTGCACCCCCCCCCAATATTTCACCTTGCTCTGCTTGCGAAAGTAATTTTGTTACAAGAGGTTTATTTGTGATGCAGCTCCTTGGTCATTAATAGAGTAGTGACTGATGAATGCTTGATAAAAGCTTGTTACTGGTTGAGGCTTTGCTGCATGATGGATGACATTTCCATTTGTAGAGATTAAGGACTGATGTACTGGTACATCAATCTTAGCATGTTAAACTTTGAGGTGAACCCTTTAAATCAAGTTCTGTTAACGGTGTAATAAATCAAATACAGACATTGATTTCGGAAGTAGGAAAACAATACACCATCCTTTCATTAAAAGTAAATATTATGCATTGATTGTTTTTTGTGAACTGGAGGCAAACAACTCCAACTTCACTTCATCCTGTGTGCACGCAACCTGCCCCGCCCCTTCCCTTGCTCTATTGTTAGTCGTTCAACCTTGTTCCACCACGCACCTACCGGCACTGGGCACTCCTCTTGTTCAGCAAGCATTGCGCATTGCACCATGTGCTCGGTTTGGGTGACATTCTCACCGAGGTAGTCAGACGAACCGTACCGCTCGAAAAGGCTAAAGATTGCCTGAATTGCACGATCGACATCCATGACCAGTTTGCAAAATCCACCGCGTGCACACTGCTAGAATCAATCGGCTTTAACCATTCCACACTAACTTTGGAACTTGCGCCGAGCCAGCTTGTTCAAGCTGTACATGTACTGAACATGTACATGATATAGCAGCATTGTGCGTTGCATGCCCATGCCAGCTATATAGCGCAAGCGCAGAGTTGAAATTTTAATGTGTGAGCGCTACACTAGCACTACACTAGTGGCGCTATGTCAAAACACGGTACACGTGAGTGAAATGAAGCGCAGCATTCAAACGTCAAAGTCAGCAGTAACGATAACAAGGCACATTAGTTTTTTTTTGTACATGTAGAGTATATATACATGTATATCAAATGGGATCATGTGTCCAACTTTCACGATGGTATTCGTCGAATACGTGTTGACTGGGCATTCGTTGCCAGTTGTAAAGAAAGTTACTGTGGTTGCCTCGAACCTGTAGCCTAACCATGGTCCCGACATCACTGACAAGGAGTTCTAGGGATACCACCAATGCGCATGCACCGAGAAAAAGAACCTTGTGTGCATGGCAGTCATGTGTCAGCGCTGTTTTGACGATGTGATTCAAACGACGGATGTTCAGGACGTTTGAAGCTAAGCGTGAGTTTCAAATGTAGAATTTGAAGTTTTTGTTTTGAATCAGGCAACAATTCTGAGGCATTGTGAGCTTGTCGTAAAGTTTATGACGCTTGGTCAGTGTTAGTAGAGCAATTGATAGTGTCCATGCTGACTCTACAACTATACGGTAATTGATGCAGATGATTTCCACATTGTGAACCAGTAACAAATTATCCATAAATGTAAATAAATTGCTTGTGTGTACTTTACTAATACAAATAAAGACATTGAATTAAATATTTATATTAAAGATTCTTTAATTCAAAAAGTATTGACGACAAGTATTCTTGGAAAAACCACTGCCAAAATGTGCACATGTCCATCCCTAGAAATGTTGGTGTTCTTTGAAAACTGAGACACGCGTTACCCTCACAGAGTCTTATCTTAATATAATATACATACTTGGTAGCTTGGGGCAATACTTGTCAAACTTACTTCAACAAAATATATATATTGTTCAAAAGAAAGCCTTAATAACTCGGGTTATAGATCACACACTAGACTTCTCCTCTCAAAATTCAAATGTCTCACTATCTTTAATATCTACAAATATCACTTGGGTGTTTTGATGTATGAATTTGAGAGCCAGATCCTTCCAACGGCCATACATGTACAAACTATGGTTACTTTAAATAGTTCAGTCCATAATTATAATACAAGATTGTCATCCAAGTTTCACATCTTTAGTGCATGAACATGTTTCTCCTAATCAACTGTAAGACGCCAAGGCCCAATTTTATGGAATAGCTTAAACTGCCTATCCCCAACACATACTATTTATCAATTCAGAAAAAATCTTAGAGTTTCTTACTTGGGTACCAGTGATTTTAACTGGGTCAAAATTTCAAAAGGGTCCAAATGTGAAATGTTATACCTGGTATATCATTTTAGGTGTTTATTTTCTTGAAACGTCCATATGTGTGCATAATTTTTAACAACATTCAAGAATTTGACTTTCATTTGACACTAAAAATTTATTTTTAAATATGGGTACCAAGAAATTGGGTAAGAATTTCCTTACTGAAATTCTTTCTGTTTTTTAGCTGATCGAAATTTCTTTGCTCCAGTTTGAAGAGTGCCCCAGCAAGTAAAGAATGACTGAAATGAATTTCCATTTTCCTTCTGAAATTGTATGTAATATTACTGTATTTATATATCATTTTAGAAAATGTACTTGACATCAGACACCAAAGTACTTATTTATCCCCACAATACACCCTTTGGGAAAAGAGTGTCAAGCGTACCTTACAAATCACAAAAAGCGCCCTCTTCCTAAACATCAGCATAATTCCCTTTTTTTTTCAAACTCTTCAAAACTATGGTGTCAGATGTGCAAGTTAGACACCCTGTAAATCCGACGCTGTCAAAACCATGCATTACTGATGATGAATTGCTGGCAGTGCAATGTATATGTATAGAAACCACTTATCATCTGTACACCTCATTTGCATAGGATGTAAATGAGACCCCACTCTCTGTAACAGTTATGGTACCAAATGCATGTAGGCTTCCTCTTTGTTTTATAAATGCATTTGCAGACATTTGGCTATTAGGACAAGCATTTCCTACTAGACCAGTTTACAAATATGGTAATTTCTAATTTACCTGGCAAGTGGAGACAAAAAGCTTTAAGTGGTCCATTGAAAATGTACAGGGAAACAAATTTCAACATTTTCTCCAAGTTTCCGCACCTTTTTCACTTTTGTCTTCAGAAACCCCTCTGAAATCATAGCAGTAACATTCTGGTGTGAGAGGAAATTTTGGAGAAGAAAATTAAACTTGAAAACTTTTGTTCGAAGTACCAGTACATGAGGTTAAAAGAAATCAGTATGGTTTCGTTCTATGTGAGCTGTACAAGTTACAACAAATTGTGCTCTATACATCACGGTACCATACACCTTCTCAGTCAAAAATATAAATGGCAAAACATCTAACTATAGAAGGATAGTAATAGTTTTGATGAATGCTATCAAGGGGGTAGGGCCTATCCATGTGAAGTTACCGGTATTTCTGATGACCCCCTTTTAAGTTTTTTAAGTCTGATTCGCTGTACAAAATTTTAAATCACACAGGTGCCTATAAGTGTTGCATACATAGACCGGTAGTACCCTGAATGTACAAATTTATTTAATTTCACACGGTTGGAAAGGAGCCCCCTGAAAAAGTAAGTTCATTTGTTTTATTCATTGCAGTGTAAAATCCCTTTAGACAGAAAGTAAACGCTATACTGTAAAATGATCTAGTGGGCTTTCTGAAGACAAAAGTGAAAACAGTGCAGAAGCTGAGAGAAAATCATGTTGAAATCTGTGACCCTGTACATTTTCAATGGGCTGCAAAGCTTGTTGCCTTCACTTGCCATTTATGTGCATGCACATACTGGTAAATCTCCATTTTTTGTTGAGTATGCTGAATTTAATTTTCCTCATTTTTCTTCCGTGTATAAGCGCCAATTTTTTTTCTTTTTCTGCTGAAGTAACGGCCAGGCTGTCCTGGTTTGGACGCCCTGCTAAAACCCTTCAAGGAGAAAACTTCTCATTTAATGTGGTGCCATCACCAGGAGACAGTGCACAGGACTCTCACTTTTATCCACCAATCCTTTAGAATCTCACATAGCATCAGACACCAGTGCCAAGTTTGACTGGCCACATGCATATCTACATGTACATGTATCTCGTTTTGATATCGAGTATTCAGCCAACAGCCAGACAGTTCATTGCAAAACAGCATAAAAGTTCAACCTCCATTGTCATCCTGGTGAAGATAACTTCACGAGAGGGCCAGCTCTCCAAATGAGTCCCCCGCAGTATAATTCGTCAAGCTAGAAACAACTCTCCTATGAGAACGAGTTTTCCACACAATGTTACGTGGACATGTATGTGTAACAATCTGAGTTGAGCAATAAATGCTTTTAAAAGTCAGGCAAATTGCCAAAAATCCTACGTGATGAAGAAACAACGTAAGAAGGCATACTCTTTACGGAACAGCACCGGTATAGCGCAAAGTCAGAATTACGCAAAAATAGGAGGCAGTCAGACAAGAACTCGCACTTCCTTTTGCAGATATATCCCTAAATACTGGAAATTTGGATATGAAACTTGTACAAATAGATAGAGGAGCATGTGCCCTTTCAGACGGCACCAAGTTTGCAAGATTTAGATAAATTTTAGACCTTTTATGCTCCGAGTTGAGCAATAAATGCTTTTAAAAGTCAGGCAAATTACCAAAAATCCTACGTGATGAAGAAACAACGTAAGAAGACACATCTAAATGCAAGTTAAACTTGGTGGAACTACTCATTGGGCATGTTAACAGAGCTGCACTGTGACATGTTCTCAACCTACAGAAACATAAAGTCAACTCCAGATGTCAGGCGAGTGAAAAGTAAGAGCAATTAAGGTACATGTATTTAAAGATGAAGAGGAAAGGCACCCAAGATGAGTCATGCAAAGTGATGAAGCACACACAAGATGAAACATATGAAGTTGAACGATGTGGGATTAAATGTACATGTAGAACATGTACCGGTAAGATCATAAGCATGCAAGATGAAGCATGTACAAGATCAAGGTACACATGTATCTACCAACCATTCTGATTTTGGTGGAATTATAAATCTTCAAAGCTGATTCTGAATTATGAATGTTAGTCCCGAAATTACGACTTTTTTCCAATCTTTTCTTCATTAAAATTTTAAAATGGCCGGAGTAGAGGTACTCACGCATGTGATGCGATGGAAAAAGTAGTCTTGTTCCCCGACTAATAGGTGGCAGCACTAAGGGCCATTTGACAAGGACATGTACAGGGGTGTCTGTCTAATACACTGGTATTGATACGTTAGTGTAGCGCATGAAGACGTAAAGCGGTTACAGGCACGAGCTTTATGTAAGTACTGTGTAGTGCCACAGACACATCAATGTCTGTGTGAGGTGCACTGTGGATTTAGCCTGCATGCGAATGATTTGACACGTACCGGTACAAATCTGCTCATGGGCGGCCATTTGTGCAATTTAGGAGGTACCGGTACATGTATATGTAGCCATTGCATTGCTCCTAATATACATAAACATTTACCCAAATCTTCTCGTCTTTTTTCAGATCATTTAGCAAAGTTCTGCCCATCGCTTTATATTGACATTTTTGCAAAGCACCAGTGCAAATCATTCACTGCTTGTACAAAGTCAAAGGATGGGTGTGCAGGTCCCTGAATAAGACACCGCCATCCTCAAAATAAATTTGGCATTGGAAGACTGGCATGTGTCATGTGAGACTAGGCACATTTAGGATTAAAGTGGCTGCCTAATTTTGAGTTTCCCATAATACCTGTCTGCCATAAAATATACGTGTACATGTATATGAAAACACATTTTTTTACTTGCTTTGAATTGGAAGAATATAGATAAAACATAGTTCAGGTACTGGCATGATGTTGGAAATTCGAAAGCATAATTGGAAGTATCAGACAATAATGTTCTTTGTATGTTCTTGACTCAAGCAAAATTGTTTTTGATCATTTTTTGGTCTGAAATTTAATGCAAAAATGTTATGAAACAGGCTAGATTGCACCAGAGAGCATCTAAAAACCCAGAGCTTCCAGGGCACTTCAGCAGGCACTGGACCCTGGCTAAAATGGACTTTGTGGTGTGCGTAAAAATAGTGCACCTTTTTCTTTTTTGTTGTCCTATATCGGCAGGTATGAATGAAGGGCACAGAAGATGGACATGCAAGATGAAAGGCAAGGAAATTGAGGGCTTTCAAGATGAAGGGGCACACAAAAATGAAAGGTATGTAAGGATTGACAGAAGATGGGCTTGCAAGATGATGTGCACCCAAGATTAAGAGCATGCAGAATTAAAAAAATCATAAATTAATGGCATGAAAGATGAAATAAATGGGACAGAAGATGAAAAACATACACGATGAAGGGATCATAAGATGAAAGACTGCAAGAAGGGCTTACAAGATAAAGGATTGCAAGAAGTGCGCGCGCAAGACAAAAGGCTCGCAAGATGAAGACTTGCAACATGAAGGGGAAGCAACCCAAAGACCACGGAAGACAAAAGGCGTGCCAGAGGAAGGGTTTGTAAGATGAAGGGCACAGGAGATGAAGGCCATGTGATGAGATGAAGGACACTCAAAATGAAGGGCTTGCAAGATGAAGGGTATGCATAAAGTAGGTCATTAGCCTAAAGGGCATGCATGATTAATGTACGCAAGTTGAAGGCTACCCAAGAAGATGAACGCAAAAGTAGTTGAGCATGAAAGGCGAAAGGCTTAAAGATGAAGCATACCCAAGATAATGAGCGTCAAGATTGAGAGCAGGCAAGATGAACATTAATGAAGGGCATGGAAAATTATTGGCACAGAAGATGAAAAGCATGCAAAATAAAAGGCTCAAAAGATGAAGGATTGAAGAGGAAGGGTTCGCAAGATGAACAGCATCCAAGATTATGCATGATTGAGGGCACGCCAGAGAAGAACATGAAGATAAGTGCATGTAGTTATAAATGGTTCATAAATTAAAGAACATGAAATACAAAGAGGGACTCACCAGACAAAGGACTGCAAGAAGTGTCCAAGTGCAACAAGGAGAGCACTCATGATTCAGGGATTGCAAGATGATGAATGGCATACAAAATAAAGGGTACAGAAGATGAACATACAACATGGAGGGCTGAGCAGATGATTGACAAAAGCAGAAGGGTTTGCAAAGGGAAAGATTGCTGAAAGGGCTCACAAGAGAAAGTGCTTGCAATACGAACGGTTTGCAAGACGAAGAGCTAGCACGATGAAGGGCTCGGCGATAAAAGCCATGTAATACAAAATGCTGAAAAGATGAATGGCTTGCAAAATCGAGGGTTTTGTAGACAATGAGCATTGAAGACAAAGGGCTAGCAAGATCAAGGGTCAGCAAGAGAAAGGGCTTGCGAGGCAGATGGCTTGCAAGATGAAGGCTATGTAAGATGATATGCTCCCAAGATGAAGAAAGATAAAGGTGTGAAAGATGAAGGACTCCCAAGATAAAGGTCTCGCAACACCAAGGGCACGCAAGAAGAAGGGCAAGTGAGACATACTGGTTAGAAGAGGAAAGTTTTGTAAGATGAAGACTTGCAACAAAAAGTGCTTGCGACATGAACGGCGCGTTAGACGAATTGCTCACAAGACGAAGGGCTAGCAAGATAAATTTAAGGTAAGAAGAAGGGCTTGCAAGAAGGGCACACAACACAAAGGGCATGCAAGACGGGGCTTGGAAGACAAAGAGCTAGCAAGATGAAGGTTAGCAAGATAAAGTGCACACCAGACAGAGGTCCTGCAAGATAAAGGGCTTGCGGGACAAAGGGTTTGGAAGAGGAAGGTCCGTAATATGAAAGGTTCACTAGACGAAGGGCTGGCAAGATGAAAGGCTGGCAAGATTAAGTGTAAGATGAAGGGCTTGCAAAACCAAGGGTTGGGAAGATGAAGGGTTTGGAAGATGAAGTCTTGCAACATGCAGTGTTTGGAAGTTGAAGGGCAAGAGAGATGAAGGGCATTCATTATGAATTGCATAGAAGACAAACGGCTCGCAAGCTAAACAGCTCAGAAGACAAAGGGTTCAGAAGAGGAAGTGCTAACAGTATTAAGGCCTTGCAAGATGAAGATCTAGCAAGATGTTCTCAGAAGTTGAAGGGCTCACAGGGGAAATGGTTGGCAAGAGGAGCTGCCCACAAGATGTAGGGCTAGGAAGATGTAGGGCTAGGAAGATGAAGGGTGAGGAAGATGAAGTACTAGGAATGTGAAGTTCTTGCAAGATGAAGGTTTACCAAGATAAGGGCTGGCAGGACAAAGGGATTCTAAGGGAAATGGCTCACAAGAGAAAGGGCTCGCAAGAGAAAGGGCTCGCAAGATGAAGGGCTAGCAAGACAAACTGCTAGAAAGATGAAGGGCTTGCAAGATGAAGGGTTCACAAGATGATGGCAAGAGAAGGGCACACAAGATGGAGAGCCAGGAAGACTCGGGATTTGGAAGGTTGATGGCTTGTAAGGAGAATGGTGCAAAAGAGGATGGGCTCGCAAGATGAAGTGGTCGTAGGATCAAGTACTCTGAAGAGAAAGTGCATTCAAGAAAAAAAGCAATCAAGAAAGGTATGTAAAATGAAGGACTCTCAAGATAGGCGAAAGGCTCAAAGAGGAAAGGGTTTGCAAGGGGAAGGGTTGGCAAAATGAAAGGCTTGCAAGTTGAAAGGTTCACAAGATGAAAGTCTGGCTAGATAATGAGCTCTCAAGATGATTAAGCTTTTAAAAATGAGGACTTGGAAGATGAAGACCATGTAAGGTGAAGGGCACACATTACAATGGGCCTGGAAGATGAAGAGCATGCAACAGGAAGGGTTCATAAAAGAAAGAGCATTCAAGATGGGCCCGCAAGATAAAGTACATCATGAAGGGCTCTAAAGAGAAAGTGCTTACAAGAAAAAAGGTAATCAAGAAAGAAATGCATGTAAAACAAAGGACTTTCAAGACAGAGGGCTCGCAAGATGAAGGGCCCCTAAGACAGATGGGTGGCAAGAGGAAGTGCTAGTAAAACGAAGGTCTCACAAGATTAAAGGTTGGCAAGATGAAGGGTTCCCAAGATATAAACGTCTGGCAAGATGATGGGCTCCCAAGACAGAGGGGTTGCAAGACAAAGTGGTCACAAGTTGAACAGCTCAGGAGCGAAAGGGCCTTAGAAGAGAAGGGTTCACAAGAGAAAGGCTCAAAAGAGCAAGGTTTGTAAAATGATGGGCTCGCAAGTTGAATGGCTCTTTAAGGCAAATGATTTTGAAGATGTAGGGCTCGCAAGATGATGACTCACTACACAAAGGGCATGCATAACAAAGAAGGGCTCACAAGATAAAGGGCTGCAAAGGCAAGTGCACACAAAAGGAAGGTCTCGAGATATGAAAGGTTAACCAAATGAAGGGCTCTCAAGACAAAACACCGGGAAAAAGAAGGGATGGCAAGATGAATTGCTCACAAAGTGAAGGTCTCGCAAAATGAACTTCTTGCACAATAAGTTTTATGGAAGATGAAGGACTTGCAAGATTAAGGGTCATGTAAGGTGAAGGTCTCAAATGACAAAGGAAGACAAAGTCCATGGAGAAAGGCTCACAAGAGGACAGGTTTGCAAGAGGAAGTACTAAAAGATGAAGGGTTGACAAGATAATTTCTCGAAAGATGAACATCTCTCAAGACTCACAAGGGAAAATGCTCCGAAGAGGAACTGCCCCCAAGATGAAGGGCTCACAAAATGAAGGAAAGACAAGGACATGCAAGACAGAGGGTAAGCAAGACTCGCGGTTTGGAAGGTGAAGGGCTTATAAGGATAAAGGTGCAGAACAGGAAGAACTCACAAGACAAAGGGATTGCTTAGAAGAGGAAGGGTACAAAAATGAAGGGCTTGCAAGATAAAATGCTGTTAAGATAAATAGGCAAACGAGTTGTATGAGGAAGTGTTAGCAAGATGAAGTGCTCACGATCTGAAAGGCATGCAAAATGACGGACTTGCAAGATGCGAATTTTGTAAGTGCTCACAAACTGAAAAGCTCGGAAGAGAAAGGGCTTGGAAGAGAAGGGCTCACAAGAGGAAGTGGTATTAAAAGAGGAGGGGCTCGCAAGATGAATTTATTGCAATATGAAGGCCTCTTTAGACAAAGGGCTCACAGGGAAAAATGCTAAGAAGAGGAACTGCCCCCAAGATAAAGGAATCACAAAATGAAGGAAAGACAAGGGCATGCAAGACAGAAGGTAAGCAAGATAAAATCTGTTAAGATGAAGGGCTCGCAAGATGAAGAGTTCAGAAGAGAAAGTGCTCATAAAAATGCAATCAAGAAATGCACCTTAAAGAAACAGTTCCAAAGACAAAGCTCTCACAAGATGAAGGTATCCCAAGACAAATGAGTCGCAACAGGAAGTGTTGGCGAGATGACGGGCTAACAAGAGGGTTTACAAGAGAAAGTGCTGACAAGATGAAGGGCTCCCCGGATGAAGGTCTGGTAAGATGGAGGTCTCACCA